CGGAGCAGAAAACTTCTTCCTGGAAAACTCCACCCCTAAGAAGCCCTACATAAGCCCCTCTGCTTTGTCAGTTGCTGGCTGTCCTTTCCTGCCCTGGCAGAGGCAGCCACTCTCCTGGACTCCTCCTTCCTAAATAAATCTTAAGATTCGGTGAAGATCTTTTGTCAGTGGGGAGCAGACCTTTGCTGAGAAGTTCTCCCGAGGTAAGGGGACTGAACAGCGAAAGTAACAACTTGTCACTGGAGCCAGAGGAGATTGCTACATTTCTGCAGGGGTTTGTTTAGCAGAGTGGAAGAAGGAACACCTTGGGCCAGAGCTGAGAAGAAATGGATACCTCTGCTGGGAAGCCCCCTTTAAGGAGGGGGCAGAGCAGAGCCCCCCTGTAATGACTCTCTCTTGAAGAGGAGCAGGATTGTTATATACTTGACGGTGGGTGGGTGGGTGGGTGAGCATCCTCCATGTTACCCCAGCTTCAGGTATAGTCTGACTTCCCAACAAGCTATCTTTCCCCCCAGAGCTGAAACACCTGCATTCTCACCAGAGTCTTACAATTCTATTTGAACTTTTGGCCTCCAAAACTGTAAGCTAAAGAACTGCTTTACTTTACAAGTTATCCTACCTCAAGTGTTTTGTTATAGCATTGAAGACTACAGTAAACCAGGTATAGCGGTACAAACTGATAATCGCAGCGATTGGGAGGTTGAGGCAGGAGGATAATGAGTTTGAAACCTGGGTAAGCTATATAGTGAGATCCTTTTGCAACAAACAAAAATAACTAAATTCAGCCCCAATAAAACCTCAACAACAAACAGACCATCACAGATGATTTCATTTAAGACTTATAGCAAGCGGTTAGGAGAAACGATACTGATTACCTATACATTTTTAAGAAAATAGACACAGAGGAACACCTCCTAATTTTATAAAGTGAAACACACTTCAATACCAGAAGTACATTAAGACAGTCCCTTCTTTAAAAGATTTATGTTTATGAATGTTTCATCTGAATGTATATATGTGTCCCATGTGTGTGTCTGCCAGTGGAAGTCAGAAGAGGACATCAGATCCCTTGGGACTGTAGTTATCCCTGGTTGTGTGTAGCACAAATTCTAGTTGGTATTAATTATAAAAACCCAGAGACAGATATTGGAGTTAAAGCTGAAGATCAGAGAAGCAAAGCGGCCAGCCAGTAGCTCTTACCTCTATCTCAGACAGAAATGGGCGATCTTGTCTCCATTAATCCTCAGACTATACTGATCTCCACCAAACCTCAGACTGCGCTGAGCTCCTGTATCCTCCACCTTGTATTCCTCTCTAGTGCTGGGATTAAGGGTGTGGGATCCCAAGTGCTAGGATCACCTTAGTGTGAGCTTTGTTTCTCTTTTAGACTGGATCAATTTTGTGTAGCTTAGGATGACCTTGAACTAATAGAGATTTGTCTACCTCTGTCTCCTGAGTTTGGGGATTAAAGGTGTGTACCACCACTACTTGACCTCTATGGCTAACTAGTGTGGCTAGCTTTGTAATCTGATTTTCAGACAAGCTTTATTTGTTAGATCATAAACAAAATATCACCACAGGTGTGAACCACCATGTAAGTCCTTGAACTCAAACGTGTGTCCTCTGCAAGAATAAGTGCTCCTAACTGATAAGACATCTTTCTGTGGTGACACATGTCTTTAATCCCAGCACAGGGAGGCAGAGACAGGTGGATCTCTGTGAATTCTAGTCAGGCTGGTCTACACTGTGAGTTCTAGGGCATTCAGGGATATGTATAGAGAGACCCTGTCTCAAAAACAAAAGCAAAAACCACAAACAGAACAGAAGCACACAGCGTCATATGCTATATAGAATTATATGTAGTGTGTTTTTGTGTGACTGGTAGTAATGTGTTTGTTCATATCACTATCACCACAAACACATGAGTGAAGTGATAAGAAAATTTTCAGGCATGGCAATATATGGCTAAGTGGGTAAAAGGCACGTGCCACCAGGCCTGGCAACCTGAGTTCAATCCCAGAACTTAAAGCTCCAGTACAATCCCATGGCCCCACCACCACATGTGTGACTTGGGTGTATAAACAGGAGCTGGAAAGATGGCTCCGTGGTTAAGAGCAACTATTGCTGTTGCAGGGACCAGAGTTTGATCCCCAGCACCCAACCCAAGCTGAACAGCTCTGCGGGCACCTGCAGGCATGTACACATACCCACCCCTACACACATACAAATGCACACGGAAGTAAAATTAATTGTAGATGGAGCTACGGCTCAGTGGTCAAGAACAATCACTGCTTGCCCAGAGGATTTGAGCTCGGTTCCTAGCGCCCACATTGCTAGGAACTCTGCTTCCAGGGGCTCAAACATCCCGGCCTTCAGAGGCACCTGCACTCACACGGCACAGACAGATAAGCAAGCACATACTTAGAAATAAAATACACGCCGGGCGGTGGTGGCGCGCCTTTAATCCCAGCACTCGGGAGGCAGAGGCAGGCAGATCTCTGTGAGTTCGAGGCTGGGCTGGACCGACAGCCTCCAAAACAATACAGAGAAACCCTGTCTCGTAAAACAAAAAACAAAAAACAAACAAAAAAAGAAATAATATACACATAACCATCTAAAGAAAGAAATGAGACTATGGTTTCAGGCAGTAAGTCCCTCATGTGGCTCTCAGCTCGTTTTGAGTTTCTTGGGTTAGGGATTTTCTTGAATGAACTGCTTAAACTGTTTAAAAAACATCTCTGCAGACCCTCAGTTTAGGGTTTCCTATGTGAACCTTTTCTATTGCTGCTCCTTCCTTCCAGAGGTCCCAGTGCACGTCATTTGGCTCGAGTGCTACGTTGCCACAGGGGGAGCATGCAGTGAAGGACTGCTCACTTCATGGTTGGGAAGGGGTCTTAGTTTGGGTTCTTATTGCTGTGAAGAGACACCATGGCCACCCCATGGTTCCTTCTTATAAAGGAAACTTGTAATCGAGGGTGGCTCGTTTACAGTTCCAGAGGTTCAGTTCATTATCATCGTGGTGGGGAACATGGCGGCAGGTATGCAGGTGTGGTGTTGGAGTCCTACATCGTGATAGGCAGGCTACCAGAGTGGACTGACTGAGGCCCTGGGCGGCACCCTGAGCACAGGACACCTCAAAGCCCACCCCCACAGTGACGCACTGCCTCAACAAGTGTCACGTCTGCTGCGTGGCCTGTGTCCGAGAACGTGCGGAGGGTGTCGGGGATTGACAACACAGAGACTCGTTCAACGATATAAAGAGAACTTTAAACAGGCTCCAAAAAGGTTCAAGAAAAACCTCCTAAGAAAAGCTCCCACCAGAGAAGCTTCTGCTGTCTCCTCTCCCCTGGCTGGTTCTGCTCTGACCCCAGAGGTGGATGTGTGTGGGTTTTTGAAGGTGCGGTTAGTCTTTGGACAAGGTCGAGGTCAGGGCAGTTTCCGTGGGAAGGCCTTTCCCAGGAACTTATTGTATCGTTTTTAGTAAACATGTTTTTACTAAACATTGTCTTACAGCTGCCTACTCCCAGGCAGAAGGGGAAGTGGGTCTCTGCTCAAGGTCTGGTGTTCCCACAAACAAGGCCACACCCACTCCGGCAAAGCCACGCCTCCTACTAGTGTGTCACCCTGTGAGATTATGAGAACCAATTCAAACTATCCCAGACTGAAAGAGACAAAATGGGACCAGGTCCTCAATAACCCCTTAAAGGGCAAATTCCCAATGACTCAATTGTAAGCAGGACAGCTTAGGTGGAAAGGTATCTTGGCGGCTGGGAGCCAAGAAATGCCACAAACTCACACAGCACAACAAACCTAACTGGGAGGGGAAAAGCCAGGAGGGTGGATGCCTTTGCTTGGGTGAGAAGCAGCAGAGAGCTGGGCAGAGTACGGAGTTTATATAGGGTTTCTTTAGGGGAGGGTGGAGCTTTCCAGGAAGGCCTGGGATTGGAGGGACTGTGTGGCCTGATCTTGGGGCAAACTCAGGGATTGGTGAGATTTATCTTCTTATAGGGTGGGACCCAGCCACTCTGCTGCCTCGGACTGGGAAAGGCAGTTACAGTCCTTTAGGACCCTCAGGGAAATGGGGAGGGGCGCAGTCCACTGGCCACTTGTGTTCCTTGAGAGTTTATAAAACCTACTAAGTATATAAAGGGAGTATCTGCCTTCGGCAGGAGAAACTTTTCCTGCTGCATGAAAAGCCAACACTAGCATCCTTCCGTTCAAAGTAACTATAAGCAGGCTTTTAATTGAAAGGCTATTCATCAATAAAAACTACTATTGGCCAGGCGTTGGTGGCGCACGCCTTTAATCCCAGCACTCGGGAGGCAGAGGCAGGCTGATCTCTGTGAGTTCGAGACCAGCCTGGACTACCAAGCGAGTTCCAGGACAGCCTCCAAAGCCACAGAGAAACCCTGTCTCGAAAAAAAAAAACCAAAAAATAAAAAAATAAAAATAAAAAATAAAAACTACTATTGATAAAAATACTAGTGATGTTAACATTTTTCACATTAATAATTTGAATTTAGTTTTCATTGGACTGTCTGTGTCCTTTGATAATTTTAATGAAAGTCTGTTAGAACTGAAGGAAATCTCTATTTTATTTTATAGATGGGTTCTAATGTATTCCAGTCTGGCCTCAACTTCCCAAATAGCCAAGGATGACTTTGAACTCCTGACCCTCCTGCCTGCACCTCGAGAATGCTGGGATTACAAGGTTGTGCTACCAAGCCTAGTTTATACAGTGCTGTTTATAACACCAACGAGGAACATAAGACCCAGGGGTTGAGTAATTTGTAGCCACACCACTGTTTAAACGGTAGAACTAGGCTGTAATCCAGTTCTTCTAAATCAGACTGCAGATTCACTCAAGTTACGTCCTATCCGCTCTAAGGTGGCTGGCTTAGACCTTGTCTTCCTTCCATTCTCACTAACCGAGCCTTTTAAATCATTTTAGTAAGCAGTTTGAAGAAAGCGCATGCGATCCTTCCTCTTCGCAGGATTGGACGCTTTGCGTCTCTTTTGGCCCCAGGGACTCGCCGTCGTCCGGCTGAGGCGTTCGCCGGCTGAGACGATGGCGGCTGGGACGCCGGATTCGCAAGCACGATTTGGTCAGTCTGTGAAGGGGCTTCTCACGGAGAAGGTGAATACCTGCGGGACCGACGTGATCGCGCTCACCAAGCAGGTGCTGAAAGGCTCCCGGAGCTCCGAGGTGAGCCGGGCGTGGACTTCCGGGCCGCACTCCCGTTCGCTGCGGGAGGGGCGGCGCGTTGCATCCTGGGAGTGAAGGCTGCGGGCCGCGCCCGTGGCTTCCTGGGTGCGCGCGCGTCTCCAGGTGGCTGAGCGGATGCGTTTGGAAGAGGCGGAGAGATAGCACCCGTGTTCTAGAAGGGGGGAGGCCCGGGCCGCTCCCACCCGTGCCTGTTGGTTCTCAGGGTTGCCCTTGGGTACCCTGGCTTCTCCCTCGCCCGGGTCCTGGGCAGCCTGGCCCCGTTCCTGCCCCCGACTCCTCTCCTTGTACCCAGCACCCGCCTGTCACTCCTCCCAGCCCCCTCCCGGGCCTGCACCTTCTCCTTAGGGAAACTAAGGGCCTCTCTAATCCTCGGGCTCTCTCCCAGCCCCGGGATCGCTCTTCTCTAGGAGACCTTCCCTTGCCCTAGGATCTCCTGGCTGGCAGCTCAAAGGCTGTCAAAGGTTGCATGGCTGCCTCAACATGCCTGAAGTGGCTGCCTCAGGACTCTGCATGCAGAGGCCACCCGGAGCCGGGCCAATCAATGGCAGCTCCCTGACTCCGGTTGCAAAGGCCGCAGCTGCTGAGCCTGGTTCTAAACTGCCCCCTTTCCCTTTTTAGGCAAGCGCCTTCCGCCTGTTCTTTTTCTTTCCATGTCTGCTCCCAGTCGGTCAACACCTACCTACCCCTCCCTTGACCCCCTTTCCCAATAAACTCCAAGTGGGTTTCTTGAGTTTGGCGGATCGTGTTTCATCGCCCAAAGTCGCAGCAAAGAACAACTATATGTAGTGACAGTCAATCCCCTTTAAAAACTCACCCTGGCATTGCTCTCAGCTTCCAAATTGTCTCTCACCCCTTTGTCTGTGGGTTTATTCTTTATCCGTCTGGCCATGTTCTTCATGGTTCCTTTTCCATCCGGGTGTTGGGGGTGTACACCTTTAATCCCAGCGCCGTCCATTTTGTTAGGTAAACCCATGCATAGCTAAGACTTCCAGTTTTGCCTCTCTTGTAAAACAGAGCACAGCATTTCTTTTAGATTTCCATTAGTTTCCCCTGCAGACATGTTCATTATCTTGTTCTTCCTTAATTTGGTAACACTTGGTCTTAGCTACTCATCTTCAACAAGTGGTTACAGTTTTCAACTTAGTTTTCACAGAAATACCAAGTGTAGTGAGATACTCACACCCCCCAACACACACACCTGTATCGCTGACTATGCCCCTTGAAAACTCCACTTTATTCTATACTAAGTCTAGTGAATCCTGATTTCCACATCCACAACCAGCTATCTCCTTTTTCACATATTTGTTTTCCTATGTAGTTGCAGTAATAGCACAGACTGTGCTATTGGGTTTGTGTTGACAGAGTTCCTACCAAGTCCTACAGCCCTTTAGTCCCAAATAAATACTCAGAGGCCTCTATTAATTACAAAATGTTTGGCCTATGACTAAGGCTTCTTATTGGCTAGCTCTTCCGTAATTATTAGCCTATTTCTATTAATGTCTGTATTTGTACATGGTCTTTGCTTACCTATCATGCCCAGACCTCTTGCTTCCATGGCAGCTACATGGCATTTCTCTGGCGACTCACCTTCTACATTCTTCCTGGAATTCTCCTAGTCTGGTGGCCCTGCCTATACTTCCTGCTTGGCTGTGTCCTGTCTGTTGATTGGCCAAAACAGCTTTTTTCATCAACCCGTAAGAGAATCATGTATTTGCAGCATACAGAAGCACCTCCCCCAACATTTCTTCCTTCTAAATTAAAAGGAAGGTTTTAACTTTAACATAGTAAATTATATATAACAAAACATCTACCAAGCAAGAAGTATAGTTAACAATAGTCCACTAATATTTGGCAAAATTTAAAGAAAAATATTCTATCATCTATCCTATCTTTGTGAGTATAAAGGTTTAAAGTAACTTATCTTTAATCATAACTAAGGAAAACCATAACCATAACTTCAACTCCATCAAAGACCCCAGAGGGATAATATATACACTCTAGAATTGACAGAGACATTTCACTACCTAGACAGTCACCCAAAGTTCCTCTGTAATGTTGGGGCATCCCTCTTCAGCCCATAGGCCACAGTGTCTGGCAGACTTTTTAATGAGGTAGGAAATTGAAGGGCCATCCTGTCCTTTGGCAAGTTCAACAGTCACTTCTCTTTGTAACCTGCTTGTCCAGTTTGGACAGCATGCTGTCAAGCAGTCCAGGCAAGAGCAGGTTCTTGTCCAAATGATTATCCCTGTCATGTTGAAGGCAAACTCCATATGAGTTTATTCAATGCACATCTCCTCTCTGATGTAATTGGTGTCACCAGGAGCAGTTATGTTTTGTTGTCATGAAAAACCCTAGTTAACCATTTTAAATGCCATATTATATAGACCTTTGAAAGGTTTTAAAGAATACCTATCCATTTGAAATAATTCTGTATGTCTAGAAAACCTAATTAACATAACTATAAGTTTTGATTATTATAGGTGACTATCTATAATCTGTATTTAGTTATACATTACATTTTTAAAAGAGATGTTTAAGCACAATACCTAAACAAGAGTAGAAATTTACATATAACAAAATTGCCCTTAAATTTATATCAATAAAGCAAAATCCATACCAATGCAAAGTATTAATTTGTATATCATATTCCTTTTTTTTTTTGGTTTAGAAAGAAATTGACTGTGATCATTAACCATTTATACCAACCCCGTTTAAATGAAAATAAACATTTATAAACAATGTTTGGGAATGTGGGCATAGTTCTCTCCAAAGTGCTTCCTGCTGTTTGGGGGCACTGTCAATCCCAAGGGGATCCTGAGAAAACCCAGAATCCTAGCTGTAGAACAGTCTGTGAGGATGCATCATCTCAGCAGTTCTGGATGCTGATTCACCGGTGCACTGCTTCAGGGGGTCTTGCTTGATCAAACCATATTAGTCTGGAAGGAATCCACAGCTTTTCATCTTCTGTGGAAACAAAAACAGAACCTCTTTTCCAAAGTAACTTGTCCTTAGACTTAAAATTTGAATTTAAGGCATTTTCTAAATATAGAGATTGGATTAATTCAACAGCATTTATAATCAAATGTCTTTTAGTAGCTATTGCTTCTTCCTCACTTCCTCAGCTGTCAAACAATTCAAAGGCAACAAAATAACATACAGTATCCAGACTCTCTGTGTATTTTCCATCTTTATGTGGCTTTTAAGAAATTACTCTATTTCTTTTGTTTCTATGTTTTGTTTTTTATTTTTTGGTTTTTTGAGTCAGGGTTTCTTTGTGCAGACTAGGCTGGCCTTGAACTCACAGAGATCCGCCTTCCTCTGCCTCCCAAGTGCTGGGATTAAAGGAATGTGCCACCATGCCCAGCTACTCTAGTTCTTTTTCAAAGACTTTCTCTTTTTCTTTTCTCGCCCAAGCCTCCATCTTTCTTTAAATACACTGTAAACCCTTTGGAGGTTTTTCTTTATCCAAATCAGTCTTTACTGTACATGTCTATTTTGTTTTTTCTAACCACAAGTCTTTAATTTGATAAGCAGCATGTCTAGGATTAAAGTGGTGGCTGATTGCTGGCTCCAACCAGTTAAGCTTTCCAACTTGGTGGGGATATGTTTACTGCCAGCTCTGGGAGCTGGGCTCACTGCCTTGACTCTGGTCTATGCCATCATCAAACAGCTTGTAGCACACTGCCCATAAACTTTTTTGTCTGTATGAGTAAAAGCTAAATCTGCCATGCAGCATGCTGTGGGGTTTGGAGATGGGCTCTGTGTACAGTGGTGGAATACACCATGCTGTGCTAAAGCCTGATTGCCACAGATCCCTGCATCATGTCCTGCACGAGACAGTGAGTCTAGGAAACCCAGTGTAGCTTCATTTCAGTGTGTTTAGAACCTTTTTACGCTTTTGTCAGGTTTTACATGGAAATTCCTGCCAAACGCCTGGGAGCCATTTGTAGATGGAAATTTCTGTCCTGCCTGATCCTGTGGCTGTTTAGTCCCAAATAAACACACACAGGCTTATATTAATTACAAATGGTTTGGCCAATGACTCAGGCTTCTTACTGGCAATCTCTTAATTATTAACCACTTTCTATTAATCTGTGTATCTCCAGGTGGTCTTGGCTTACTGGTGATGCCTGGGTCTTTTACTCCTTTGGCAGCTACATGGCATCTCTCTGGTGACTTATCCTCTGTGTTCTTCTTCCCGGAATTCTCCTAGTCTGGAAGAATTCCAGCTGTACAGAAAGTTTTGTCCTTACTATACTACACAGTTGCTGGAGTCACTGACCTGCTGTTTTCTGCTGACATGCTTTGTGTGGCCCCATCTGACACACTGTGTTTCATAGTTCAGTGTTAGAGAAGGTTTGAAGAATTTAAAGAATTGTTATATATTGATTTTTCCAAATATAAATTACTCAAATCTTGGTTTCACCTTGTGACACTGTATCATGGTTGAGCAGAATTCCTGTGTCAGTTTTGTTAGTAATCATATTGACTTTGCTTTTTCATGAGTTATAGATTCTATTTATTTTGTAGGAAATGTATGTGTATGTAAAATATCACATACGTCATACACATGCACACACACACACACACACACACACTTTTTCCTAGATAAACAAATTGGGTGAAGAAATGGTATAAATATGTTTAAATTTTAAAGAGGTGGGTTTTGGGCCAGCGAGATGGCTCAGCAGTAAAGGTCCTTGTAACCAAGCTGGCCCACTTGAGGTCCATCGCAGTCTGGGAACCATATGGCGGAAGGAGAGAACCAAGTTCCAAAAATTATTGTCTAGCCATGGCACACATATTCCTGCCTCCCTTCTACAAAATAAATGAACACATGTAACTAAACATTGTTTAAAGCTGATTATAGTAGCATTTGGGAAGTGGAGCACGCAGATTTCTGTGAATTTGAGGCCAACTGAGTCTACATAGAGAGCTCTAGCCCAGCAAAGGCTGCATAGTGAGTTCTAGCTTAGACAGGGCTACATAGTAAGACCCTGTATCCCCCAAATTCTTTAAAAGAGTGATTTATATTCAAGTACTTGTGTATATTGAACATCATAAGGAATTTACCTTACATGGTACTAGTTGTATAAGATACCAAAAATCCCCACCTCATTGATTGTCTCTAATAAATATTAAAAAAAAAAAAAAAGAAAAGAAGGCAGAGTGAATGCTCCCATTGTAAGGAAGAAACATAATAAAGCCAGTGAAACACCCACCACTTAGATAGTGACTAAACCTTATAAGGAACATGAATCTGGGAAAGCACACTTGCACATTCAGTGGAATGAACTGCAGAGCAAGCATGTGGGTACCTGGGGCCAGAGCGGGAGGTGCAGGTAGAACCACGGATTAGGAAGGCCTTGAGATGAGAATGTTTACAGGGATTGGGTGCCAGTCTGGCTGGTGTAGAAAGTAAGGAGAAACGTACTCACTCCCACAGCCAGTTAGTGATAAACAGCCTATTCTCTCGTACACCCGTGCTTCAGTTACTCCATTTGAGTCTTGTGCTAGTGAGGGTCATTGTGGGGTTTTGTAAACATTAATATTTGTGCAATGATGAAGTAGAACTTAGCGAGTGTTGTAGGCAAACATTTTACTCCTGAGCTATATTCACAGCCCCAATGTAGTGCTTTTTTAAAATCTGTGTGTGGCACTTGTCTTTATACTGCACTTACATAATTTGTTAATTTATTGTGTGTGCACACTCGTGTGCATGCATGGGGATAGAAGACAGCCTCAGGTGCTGTTCCTTGGATGTCACCTACTTTTTAAAGATTTTGAGACTAGGTCTCTTTGGCATGGGACTCAACAAGTGAGTGAAGGAAGCTAGCCATGGAGCCTTGGTGTGAGCCATCACACTTGGCTCTCCCAGCCCTTGGGTTCTAGGGATTAAACTCAGGTCCTAGTTCTTACAAGGCAAGCACTTTACTAAGCTCTATTCCCAGCCCCTCAGCTGTATAACTTAATGAAATAATATTGGAAGTGATGAAATGGGGGGCAGTGAGCACACTATAGTTATAAAAATAAGAAACTGTGAAGATGGGTAGATGAGAAAAACTGAGTTAGATTATGAGCAAATCGATGATAAAAACTTAGGAGAAAAGTTTGTGGAATCTAGAAAGATTCTGTACTAAGATTGTTTCTATGATACTCCTTTTTAAAAAGGTAACCCTGGAACTGTAAATGATGTGTATCTGATAAAATGCTGTAAAGTGTCAGTGAATTCATCTGTCATGCTGGGAAAGGTCTTGGTTCATGTGCAGCTTTGGCTGTTTTGGAAGTCACTCTGTAGACCAGGCTGGCCTCAAACTTACAGAGATCTGTCTGTCTCTGCCTCTCCAGTGCTGGGATTAAAGGTGTGCACCACTACCACCAGCAGAGACCACATCTTAAAAAACAAATGCAAAGGCAGATCTCTGTGAGTTTGAGGTTAGTCTGGTCTACAGAGCGAGTTCCAGGACAGCCTCCAAAGCTACAGAGAAACCCTGTCTCGAAAAACCAAAAGAAAAAAAAAGAAAACAAAAACAAAAAAACAAACAAAAACCCAACTAAAAACAAAAACAGAATAAATGCAGAACGCAAGCGAGGAAAGATAACCAGATGTCAACCTTCCTTAGGCATGCACGCACGCACGCGCACACACAGGTACCGCAAAACTGGCCACAGGAATTGGGAGTGTAGCTTGGTGGTAGTGTGCTAGCAAGGGCCTGCATTGGATCCCTAGCACCTCAAGAGAGGAACCTGCACTTTCATATGCTTTTGGTGAGAATGCAAGATGAAACATCTGTGATGCAGGGGAATTGGGCAACATGAAACAAAACTTGGACCAGAATCAAGATTCTACATGCTTGTCACAAAGATGCTCTAGGATGCAGACTTAGGTGAGCTTTTGGTTCATTGCATACAGTAGCAAAGACTAGAAACAGCCTCCAAGTTCACGAACTGAGGCTGGTTGAATGTCTTAGTATATCCCTGTGGTGTAGTGTGATATTTGAGTTGTAAAAGAGTGGTTGAGGAGATTCTGTCATGTGATTTGAGTACGAGTGACTCTCATAGGCTCATATATTTCAATGTTTAGTGGTTTGGTTAGGAAGGATTAGGAGGTGTGGCCTTGTTGGAGGAGGTATGTCACTGGGGATGGGCTTTGAGGTTTTTTTGTTTTTTTGTTTTTGTTTTGTTTTGTTTTGTTTTGTTTTTGGTTTTTCGAGACAGGGTTTTTCTCTGTATTGTTTTGGAGCCTGCCCTGGAACTCACTCGGCAGACCAGGCTGGTCTTGAACTCACAGAGATCCGCCTGCCTCTGCCTCCCGAGTGCTGGGATTACAGGCGTGCGCCACCAATGCCCGGCAGGGCTTTGAGGTTTTAAAAGCCTAACCAGGTCCATTCTCTCTGCCTCTGATTTGTGGGTAAGACAGACTCTCAGCTACTGCTCAAGCACCATGTCTGCCTGTTGCTGCCGTGCTCCTTGCCATCATGATGGCCATAGACTCATCTTCTGAAACCTTTTTTTAAAGATATATTTATTTATTGTGTATACAGTGTTCTGCCTGCATATATGCCCACATGCCAAAAGAGGGCACCAGATCTCATTGCAGATGGATGTGAACCACCATGTGGTTGCTGGGAATTGAACTCAGGTCCACTGGAATAGCAGCCAGCGCTTCTAATTCCTGAGCCATCTCTCCAACCACATCCTCTGAAACTAAGCAAATCCCAACTAAATGCTTTTATAAATTGCTTGGTTATGGTGTCTCTTCACAGCAATAGAAAAGTAAGATCTCCCTCTCCCTCCCTCTCCCTCTCCCTCCCCTTCTCCCTCTCCCTCTCCCTCTCCCTCCCTCTCCCTCTCCCTCCCTCTCCCTCCCCCCCTCTCTCTTTTTTTTTTTTTGGTTTTTATGGGACAGAGTTTCTCTGTATTGTTTTGGAGGCTGTTGGTCCAGCCCGGCCTCGAACTCACAGTGATCCGCCTGCCTCTGCCTCCCGAGTGCTGGGATTAAAGGCGTGAGCCACCACTGCCTGCCCCCTCTCTCTTTCATATAGCCAGTGATTGATACACACACATACACACACACACATACACACACACCCCATTGTGGATAGACCCTCCAGTCCTTGAACTTCTTCCCAGGCCCTTTTCTTCCACATTTTCCTCTCATTGCACCCTCAGACTTTTGTGGGAGGTGTGAGTCAGGGTTTCTCTGTGTAGCCCTGCCTGTCCTGGAACTCACTTTGTAGAGCAGGCTGGCCCCAAACTCAGAGATCCACCTGCCTCTGCCTCCTAAGTGCTGGGGTTAAAGGTGTTCGCCGCCACCTGCACCTGGCTGACCCATGGACTCTTAAGTCTGTCTCCCCCTTTTTATTCTTTCTCTTTGGAGCAGGTCTCATGGAGCCCACGAGTGCAGAGCTCACTGTGTAGCTGGAGGTGCATTAGACTTCTGGTCCTTTTGCTTCTGCTCTAGCGTGCTGGGATTCCAGCCCAGTTTATGCAGTACTGAGTAGCAAACCCAGGATCTCCAGCATCCTACACCCACTAAACTTCAGCCTCAGCCAAATTCTGTTTTTGTTTTTAGATATATACAATTTTATGTGTATGAATGTTTTGTCTGTGTGTATGTATGTGTACCATGTGTGTGCCTGGTTCATGCAGAGGTCAGAAGAGGGCACTTGATCCCTTGCCACTGGAGCTATGGGTTGTTGTGATACACCACGTGAATGCTGGGAGCAGAACCTGTTGTCCTCTGTAAGAGCAGCGAGTGTTCTTAGCTACTGAGCTGTTGCTCCAGCTCCGGAAGTTAGTGGTCCAGTCAAAGCAGTTTCTCTGACATCTCCCAGTACCTGATGAACAGGCTGTGTGGAGAGCTTCGTAGCTCGAGCCCTGATTCTTGAGGAGACTGTAGGTGTGGAGCCTGTATCAGAACTGCCAAGCTAAGTCACCATCCATTTTTATACTTTTTTATTTTGAGACAGGGTCTCACTAAATGTTAGCAACCCTTACTGTAGTCCAGGCAGGCATTGAACTTGTGGTCCTCTTGCCTCAGCTTTCCTAGCAGCTGGGATTACAAGCCTGCACTGCCACGCCAGTCTCAGAGATGGGAATTTTGATCACTGCTGTTTTATTTTTGTCTTTCAGCTGCTGGGCCAGGCAGCTCGAAACATGGTTCTACAGGAGGATGCCATCTTGCACTCAGAAGATGTAAGAAACGGTTGTTTCTTTCATGGTGTGTGTGTGTGTGTGTGTGTGTGTGTGTGTGTGTGTGTGTGTGTGTGTGTTGTATGACCATAGGGAAGTGGACTATTCTGTTTCTCTCTCTATTATGCAGAGTTTAAGGAAAATGGCAATAATAACCACACATCTTCAGTACCAGTGAGTATGTCCTCACCAGCAGTCACTGACTGCAGCATCCTTATCCTCCCCCTGTGCTCATTCATTTCTTTCCTGCTTCAGTACATCTTCCCAGGGAGGCGGGGCGGGGTGAGGAGGATGGGATGGAGACGGGGCGGGGTGAGGAGGATGGGATGGAGGCGGGGCGGGGTGAGGAGGATGGGATGGAGGCGGGGCGGGGTGAGGAGGATGGGATGGAGGCGGGGTAGGGTGAGGAGGATGGGATGGAGGCGGGGCAGGGTGAGGAGGATGGGATGCAGACGGGGCGGGGTGAGGAGGATGGGATGGAGGCGGGGCAGGGTGAGGAGGATGGGATGGAGGCGGGGCAGGGTGAGGAGGATGGGATGGAGGCGGGAGTGGGATGGAGGCAGGAGTGAGTGGGGTGGAGGTCGGTCGGTTGATCAAGGGGAAAGATCTGAGGCTTCAGGGAAAGTTGAGATGGGAGAGAGGAGCTGGAGCACCTTGTGTTGAACTTCCTTCCCTGTGTTAACTGGGAGCTTCACAAGGGAAGAACCATGGGGCAGAGCTTGTCAGGACCATGCTACCGCTGTGTGGCACCTGGGAGGCACTTGATCAGTGTCTGTCCACTCTGTGCTCAGTGTCTTTCCTCCCCTAGAGAATGGAGTGTGATGGGAGCTGGTATCCTGCATATAACACAGCACCAGCAGCATAGAAATCATTCAGATTCTTATGCACAGACATGGCCTTCATTGTAATTTTGAAGAAAACTATAATTGAATTTGCCTTTTGTTGTATCTTTTCTTGCCTTATATTTTATGTGGTTGGTAAGATGCTTGCATACGCTATTGGGATTGTGTGGTTGAGAATTCAAGTCCTGATAGCTAATGTTGAAACTGTTTTTAGGTGTATATATATATATTGACTATGTGGTTATTAGTCTCCATGTAATTATACTAAGTTTAAGTCAGGTGTATTTATCTGTCTGTGTGATCTATTGATGATAACTTCTCTTGGTTCACTGGGTCTCCCTATTTCTTTCCTTTTCCCCCCTTCCCTACCTAGGCAAGAAGCTATTCAGAAGAAGTAAGTGACCTCAGAGGTGGTGGGTGGGGACGACTGAAGCATGCTGGGAGTGACACCTCAGAGGTGGTGGGTGGGGACTGCTGTACCCAGGATCAGTGGAAAACTGGTTGACTCATGCCTTTAAATGACCATGCTCTGGATAGCTTTTTAGAATTTAAATAACATGGTATATTTTAAAGGTGTGCAGAAACTGGATTCACTGCTTCTTCTTTTTTTTTTTTTTTTTTTTTTTTGGTTTTTACGAGACAGGGTTTCTCTGTATTGTTTCGGAGGCTATCGGTCCAGCCTGGCCTCGAACTCACAGAGATACGCCTGCCTCTGCCTCCCGAGTGCTGGGATTAAAGGCGTGCGCCACCACTGCCCGGCACTGCTTCTTAAGTTCTAGAAGTTACAGGGTACAGAGGTCACCCTTAGGAATAGACATCCATTTATACTGGTAATGTTCATAAATAGAGCAAACATACTAAAGTCATTAAATTGTCTCATTTTATTGGCTATATCCTTTTGAATGTAAATGGAGTCCAGGCTAATTCTAATTGGCAGTCCTGTCTCCGTTTCCTGAGTGGTTGGCTGCAGGTGCGTGCCACCATGCCCATCTGCACAAACTTCTCCATGGGCTACTTTCCTCCCCAACCTTGTGATGAAATCACACTGTATTTCCATGGTGGCCTCAAACTCTTGGGTTCAAGTGATCCTCCCCTGCCTCAGTCTCCAGAGTACCAGGACAAACGATTGTGCCACAGTGCCAGACTCAGAGTTTAAACACCTCCGAGGCACAAGCAGACTGATGTAAATTTTGACCTAAGTAACAAGGTTGATGCATTAAAGGATGGATCATACAAAGAAATGTCTTCCCTGCTCACTTCAGACAGTCCTTTTCTCTGTTTTGATTTCTAGTGTTGAACAGTCACCTGACCTGCAGGACCAATTGAGTCATTTATTGAAGTAGCATGTCATAACTGACTTCTTTGCCTGATGCTGAGGGTCACCTACTTTACACAGCCATCACGATGTGGGCTTGGTTTCCATTTTCACCTCCAAAAATTCATGCAGAAAAGACTTGTGAAAAGCCAGATGATTGAACTTAGAATCATTTCTTTTGCGTTTTTGAGATAAGGTTTCTCTGTGTCGCCCTGCCTTTCCTGAAATACACTGTGTAGACCAGGCTGGTCTCTAACTCAGAGATCTGCCTGCCTCTGTCTCCTGAATGCTGAGATTAAAGGTGTGCACCACCACCATCTGGCCTTAGAATCACTTCTTAAATTGGATTAACCCTTGCTCTTATCAGATATTTAAGTTGTATTTAATTTCATATTAAAATAAAAAATCAATAAGTTCAATCATTAGCACTGAAAATAAAGGACACCATAGCTTGCTAAAAGCTGTATTGCTGTATTGTCTGATGTGATCCATAAGCACATTGCTGTGTGTTTTTTTGTTTGTTTGTTTGTTTTTGAGGCAGTGTGTTCCTGTGTAGCCTGTTGGCTTTGAACTCACAACCCTGCTGCTGCCTCTCAAGTGCTGGGATTACAAATCACCATACCTAGCCACTGAGTAACAGTTAATCTCAGATACTTGGGAGGCTGAGGCAGGGGGATCACTTGAACCCGAGAAGTTGAGACCATCCAGGTCAATACAATCTTCCTGTCTCCTAGAAGAATGGGCAGGGGAGGGGCTTCTGTTGTGAACATGTGAGAATGATTCACATTTAAAACACATTTAATTGTTCATTCAAGAATTTTTATTTCTTGAAAATTGGACACAGAACATGGATAATGGCTGTTGTTTCCTTTCTTAGTCACAGCAGATTCTTACATGGAAACCAGGTCAATGACATCCTCTCTGGCCAGCTGCAGCCCCTTTCCTTGACCTTTATCCCGGCCTCTTCCTTTCTTTCTGTGACTCTTGATTAAGTGACCTTGGTTCATTTTGTAATCATTTAAAGTCGTTCCATTCCCTTCACATTTGGAAGTAATGTCATGCAAGTAGATTTGCTGATAATTAAGTAAAGTTAAAAAATGAACCACATAGAGACCCAGTCTCAAACAAAACAAAAGTCTAAAAATATATAAAACCATTAAGTAAATGTTACAGATTAGTTTGTTAAAGTGTCAGCTCAACCATTAAAGTATAAATTAATAAATGTATCCCTGACTATGACATGTATAAAATGAATTAGAGAGCAATTTTCTCTCAGCTTAATGCTAAAAATTTGGTCAATGTGAAAATGCCTGACTCCTTATAAAGATACGACATTACAAAACTAATATTTGAATGAATGTATCAGATCAGTTATGAGAAATAATCCACAAAGTGATAAGGAAGTTTCAGTTAAGATGGCATTTGCTTGTGGTGCCATTTCTATGAATTCCACAAACTGTCAAAGAACAGGCCCTTCCCATATGCTCCCAGAATATAAGGCATGACCATTAAAAGCTGCTGAGATGACTCAGAAGTTAAAAGCACTTGCTGCTTTTGGAGAAGGCCTGGGTTCAGTTCCCAGCACCTACTTCAGAGAGTCCACAACTGTCTATAACTGTAGTGCCAAGGGATCTAATGTCCACTTCTGAACTCCTCAGATACCTGCATTCACATACACATCTGAACACATACATGCATATTGATATACATAAAAATAAATATTAAAATAATTACAACAATTTATTTGCTAAAGAAAATGTGATTTTCATTTAAAATTAAGAATATTATATAACAACATTTATGGATATTGATGTTTACATTTATTTTTATGTGTATGGATATCTTGCCTGAATGTATGGCTATTATCACATGTGTGCAGTGCCTCAGAAGACTACAAGCTTTGGATCTCCTGGAGCTGGAGTTTCAGACAGTTGTGAGCCATCATGTGGGTTCTGGGAATCCAACTCAGATCTTCTGGAAGATCAGCCAGTGCCCTTAAGTGCTGAGCCATTTCTCCAGCCCTTGAAGACTCTTAGGGATGCTGACTTTCTTTGAAAGTTCTACTTTGTTTTCTAGTTACAAAAAATTTCAGGGTATCCAGGGCTGTGTAGTGAAACATTACCTCAATTTTTCTCTTCTGTTTTTCTGTTGTGTATGTGGGGGGGGGAGGCACACATGTGGAGGTTAGAGAAGTAACTTGTGGAAATCAGTTCTCTCCCTTCTATCATGAGGGCCCTGATGGCCAAACTCAGGACTTTAACCTTGCTTGCAAGGGCCCTTACCTGCTGAGCCATCTTGCCAGACTAAAGCTTTATATCTTGAAACATGGCTCTGGGTACTTAACCAAAATTTGCCTTACTGGTCTGTCCTACAATTGCTAGCCCAGCAGTTTTCCAAAGAAGTGTCTGGGAGTCTTCTCAAGACCATCCTTGGAGATAAGGGAAGAAAACAGGAAATTTTCTGTATCTGATCATTTTTTAAATCTTTTTAATTTTTATTTATTTATTTTTTATTTATTTGTTTTGCCACCCTGGGTTTTATTCAGTAGGTAGTTACAGTGGTGTCACTGTGTTAGTTTGTGTACTGGAGCCTAGGGTGGCTCTTTGCAAAGCTCAGATGCAAGCTAAGGAAGCCAGGTAGCTCAGGGCCGCTTCCTCCTGCTCAGGCCTCAGCCTGAGCTCTCGATGCTAGACTCCGGCATGACTGGGACACTCTCAGAGGAACAGCTCACAGGACTCACGTGAGTACCCACCCCACACCCAAACCCAACAAGCTTTTCACGGATTGCTTCTTGCAGGACCAGTGGCTTGGAACATGGGGTGTCAGGAAAGGCAGCAAGTGATCCTGGCAAGCCGACCTGTATGTCTAGGTGCCCACAGCAGAACCCACAGTGTGGAAGAGACTGCACCGCAGGTCCCTCCCCCACAGGCCACAAGCAGAAGCAAAGTGCAACCCCGTGTCACCCTACCCACCCCTGGTAGTCTCCAGATAATGACCTACAGAAATAAGGTTACATTTATAATTAGCGGACAGTGTGGGGAACTTACACCATTTACAAGGGTTATCCTGCCGGAGCAGCAGATGACTGCTGGGCACTTACTGATCATCCCTGCTTTGTCACGCCCACCCTTCAGTTATCAGCAGAGGGGAGGACTCAGACTCTCTGGGGGACCCTACCGCATGCATAGGTCCCAGCAGTGGCTTAGATGTGGCTATCATTTTGGCGTAATGAGGTAAGGGGCACAGCTCGGCCCTTGCCTGCCTGCTTCCCTCAGAGGGCTTGGGGACACTGAGCTGTGCACTAACCGGCCACACAAGTTCCAGGATAGTGGCAGCTTGAGTGGCAAGGGCAAGGCCCGGCCTCTATCGCAGCTCAGGGATGAACTGAGACCAGTTGATGTTGTCAGGGCCCAGAAGGTCCTCCTCCAGGCCAGGGAAGCTCATGTCCAGAAGGATCTTACTGAGGCTGTCATTCATTGTGTCCAGGACCAGGCTTTCGGTGAGAGACCAGTTGGCTGAAAGGCTGGGGACCTCCAGATGTGGGGCAGAGGCAAGGTCAAAAGGTTCTGAGTTGAGGAGCTCCCCGGGTGAGTCAAAAAGGGGAACACTTTTCAGAGGTGTGATATTCAGCTCCATCGGCCCCAGGTAGTCAGGTAAGGGGCCAAAGGCACCTGGCGGGGGGGCTGAAACATAACCCCCCAACTTTGTCTGGGGGTGGGAGAGCAGGAAGAATCTTCCCAGGAGTTGGATAGTTCCTCTTTCAGTGACGCACACGGAGAGGGCCACTCTTCCAAGGACCCTCCACTTTGATAGGTCTCTCTAAGTGTGCCAAGTGCTCCCCAGGCTGGAGTTCTTCCTCCTCAATGGACCGAACAGGAAGCAAAGGCAACAGCCCTTCTTCAAGCAGAGTTCCTCCTCCACTGGTCCTGCAGCAGGATGCGGGGCTACCCCTTCATTGGCTAGCAGTACCTTGGGTGCAATTCAGACTCACTTGTTATGACAAGCAAGCTCTGTGCTCATAAGGGAAGCTGCCAGAGGCAATGGCACCTTCACTGAGGGCTCTAACACCAGAGACTGGTTCACTGGGAACTGGATGGGCGCCAGGTGTGAGCTGACCCATGGGAGTAGTGGCTTCATGTTTCTCCATGGGCCCAGTGGGAGTTCAGTTTTGATCGTCACATTTCTACGGAGCTCAGGATTGGGCCGTTTCTGCTGTGATTCCAAGTGCTCGGGCAATTGTGGAGACCCTGGTTCCAGTGGCTTAAACACTTGGTCCAATGTCAAGTAACGATTGGCAATTGGGTGAATGGTCCATAAAGAGACCTTGCAGATATCTCCAGAAGAAACATGTCGTAGAGAGAAAGGTTGTGACGAATAGAGTTCTTCCAGCCTGGCTTGGCAATGTGCTCGATCCAAGTGTAGATATCCTTCAAGGTCATACGTGATCTCTCAGTGCTGCTGACTGCAAACTGTATCATGGCCCTGTAAGAGTAGGGTGGCCTCTCAGACTTAGAGTCCTGCCAAGATGTGGATGCTCCTGAGGGCTCCTCAACCTGATTCTGCTCCAGGTGACAATTCTCCTTCTCTTCCATCTCCTGCCTAACACTGCAGGAGCCCAGCCGTCAGAACTCATCTTCCCAAGCCACTGGATGTTAGGTGAGCTGTTGTCCAGCGTGCAGCCTGTGGTTTCACCACCAGCACAGCTGCCCTGCCTTTGCCTTGGAAGGGCTCCGGTGGCTTGGGAACAGGCACACCCTTAGCTACTGGCTTTGGTCCCAATGTCTCAGTGATCACTTCTGTCCTCTTGGGATCATTGCTGGTTTGGGCTTGAGGCTGGGGAGCACGAGGGTGAGATGAGGCCCCCCAAGAGCTGACGAGGATGAGCTTGTTGGGGCCACGGCTGCCACCCTTTGCCGTTAGTGCCGTGATGATGCTCTGGATGTCGGCACTGTTGGGGATGGCCACCCCTTGTGTGTTGGGCATGGTGGGGTGGTTGATAATCTTGATTCCATCTGGAAACTTGCAAGATCTGGACTCTGCCATCTCCTGGGAGGCCTGTGCGTGAGTAGGCTCCTGCTGGGCAGGGGGTCTCCTTGCTTCTTCCTCTGATGTTTCACTTGGGGCATTTTGAATAGGAAGAGGCAGCCTCCATTGAGAATCAGGCTGACGGGGGCTGGTTCTCATCATGAAACTGCTCTCACTCTCCATTGAGAATCACAAGCATTGACCCTCACAGGCTGAGGCTGCTTCCCTTGGGGCCGAGCCAGGTCCGGGCAGTGGGTCCTAGCGGGACGGCCAGGGTGGGAAGCCTGGTCCAGGTGGGGGTGAAGCCTGGTCCCATTAATCAAGATGGAAGTGGTAGTATTGCACACCTGTAATCCTGGCATCTGGGAGATGGGGGCAGGAGGACCCGTAGTCCTCAGCTACAGTGAGTTTGAGACCAGCCTGGACTAAAGACCCTTTCTCAATGTTTTCCCTCCTTAAGAGATTCATTTTGCTAATGTTTGGTACAGTTTGCTTGAAGAGCTCAAATAGAGTGCCTGGCCTTCAGCAGAGGTAATACACAACACAGAGGCTATGTGTGACTCAGGAGTGGTTTCCAGGAATCAACCTTGAACACTAGGAAACATCCCCAAAGCCAGAAGCCAGGGTACAATCAACTGAGACAGCAGAGGCCCTGACGGATCACAACGATCGCTGGTCAGAATCCCACCCGGAATCAGCCCAGTGTACCTGACACCATGAGGGAAGGGTGGCGATAACGAACGTTGACAGTGGTTTGCTTATTGTGACTTATGTGGGTGTGGTTACCAAGTGGTTCTTGTGACTAAGCCATAGGCAGAAGATAGCAAAGATGAGCGCGTCCCCTCCCTGCCCTCTGACTGAGACAAAGCTGTCATTGTAACAAGGAGAAAGTACTACTTCTTTCAAAGAGCTTATTTTATGGGGAGAATGTTTTGCTCTCCTGAAAAGTGATGTTCAGGAGAGTTTGTTATGTATATGCTAAAAAGTATACATTGCCTATGAAAGTGGTCATTTTATTTTACACACCCAATAGTTAGAAATGTCCCAATCTAAAAGTATTCCGAACAAGGATTGCCTGTGGGTTTTTTTTAATGATTTATTTTTTCAAACATTTATCTTTATATTTTTAAAGCATGTGATCTATGTGTTTATTGAATGCTAACCATCCTCCAACTCTATTGAATTATGAGGAAACACTTTGGAGTGGTTAACAATTAGCTCTGTGACTTTCAGCAAGTTATTTGACCATGGAAAGTCGGAGCAGGGACTCGAGGCAGGAGCCTGAAGCTAAGACCGTGGAAGAACGCCGCTTCCAGACCTACTCTCTGCTCATGCCCAGCCAGCTTTCTTGCACAACACAGGCACAGCTGCCCCGGGATGCCTCTTAGTGTTTTATTTTTATTTTATGTGCACTGATGTTTTGCCTACATGTGTGTCTGTGATGGTGTCAGATCCCCTGGAGTTACAGACAGTTGTGAGCTACCATGTAGGTGCTGGGAATTGAACCCAGGCCTCTAGAAGAGCAGCCAGAGCTTTTCACCACCGAGCCATCTCGCCAACCCTGGGTTTGTTTTTAAACATTCAAAAGAACACTTTACATGAATGCGTGCATGTATGTGTGCACGATTTGATCTGCATGTGGCGGTCAGAGGACAAGCTGCAGGCGTCGGTCCTCATGTGCTGATGGAGAAGAGGCCCTCAGTCTTGGTGGCAGGCACCCTTACCCAGTGAGCCATCTCCCTGTCACCCTATTAACTCTCAACAACAATTCATTGACAGCAGGGAATTTGGTAACGTAGTAGATGGATTTCAACCTTTTTTTTTTGTGTAATGACATTGGATTGAAAACAGGAAGACTATTTCATAAGACTGCACTTTGCTATCTAGACATCCTTTTATTTATCTTGATGAATAGCAACGTTTGATTCAACCACAAAGCAAATAAGACATACAAACAAATGCAGGGTGATTGAGACAGCTGGTGAAAGACCTCGGCATCAAAGCGCCGGGCACTGAACCGAACCCTCTGCCCAAGAACCGGGGTCAGACCACTAGATGCAAGTGCAAGAGGCAATTTATTGAGTACACAGGCGCCTGTGGATGCTACTGCAACTCAGGTGCAGAGCATACCGGGCTTGCAGGGAGCACAATATTTATAGAGTTTTAATGGTTACATAAGTATCAGCATAGCAACAGGCATTTTATTGGCTCATCTTGGGGGCAGGGGTAGTTCCCACAGACTGAGTTTCCTGGTATTACCTCATGAAAGACCCCGGCACGCTTCAGCAGTTATTATCCAGGTCCCATGACTACTATGGTGATCATAGACACAACTGGGGGCAGGGGTAGTTGCCAAGGAATAGGTGTCCTGGTATTGCCACATAAAAGACCCTGGCATGATTCAGCAATTATTATCTGGGTCCCATGACTGCTCTGGTGACCACAGATCCTGTTTGACATCCTGCCAGCTGGGCGAGGCACCTGGTCTGGGTTTTTTCATTAGGAAAGGCCTGGCCTTGCTTTTCTTTTCCTAGGGGGTCCTGGGTAGGGGCCTTTCACTGGTATATTGGGCTTCAAGCTTCAAGCTGAAGATCAGAAAAGCAAAGCAGCCAGCCACTAGCTCTTACTCTACCTCAGCTAAGACCAAAGGGGCGATCCTCAGACTGCTCCCGACTTCACTGCTCCTCAGATTCACTCAGACTGCTATGCTCTCCTCAACGTGGCTGAGACTCCTGAGACTGACTACTGAAGACCCTGCTCCTGCCTTTTACATCTCTCTAGGGCTGGGATTAAAGGTGTGAGCTCTGTTACTCTTTTAGACTGATTCAGTCTCCTGTAGCCCCGGTGACCTTGAGCTAAGAGAGATCATCTGCCTTTGTCTCCTGAATCCTGGGATTAAAGGTGTGTAACACTGATCACTATAGTTTGAAGCTGACTTTGTTTCTGAATCCTCAGGCAAGCTTTAATGAATCATAAATAATATGTCACCACAACCACAAGTAAAGGCCCTTGCTGGCAGGCCCTATGATGTAGTTCTATGCCGGGTACCCACAGCGTGGAAGCACAGAATCAGCTTTGTAAACGTCCCTTGACCACACATGTTCCAGGGAGTCTCCACCGCATAGACACGTAAGATGTAATATCAACAAAAATAGTCTGAAGCCAAGTGACAACACATGGGAAATACATGTAAACTGGCAAGTTACTGTGGTAGGTGCTTTTCTACACACAACTGAACATTGGCTATGCAGTTATAAGTTCATCTGCAAGACATTCCAGAAAAGGCAAAGCTGCAGGGAGAGAGAGTCAAGTCTGTGTTTGCCTAGGACCCGGGTGTGGAAGGAACTTCCCACCAGGGTACCAAAAAAAAAAAAAAGCTTTCTGAAATAGAGAACCACTTTTATTCTGGGTGCAGTGAGACAGGGTTTTCCTGTGTAGCCCAGGCTGCCCTGGAACTAGCTTCGTAGATCAGGTTGGTCCTCCTGCCTCTGCCTCAGTGCATGAAATTAAAGGCATGCACCACGTCTGATGACTGGAAAGTTCACAGAACTGTGTGCTAAGGAAAGGTGACTGTTAGAGGTGTAAATGACATCTCAATGAATGACCTTATGAGCCGGATAGAAGAAAGAAAGGTGATTTCATTACCCAAGGAGAAAAATAGACATGGGTATTCATTTAAGGCACACACAGAATTTATAAATGAAACTCAGTGGCCCATTAAAGGAAGATGTTAACTAATAAAACCATTATACAGGATGCTAGGACTCCATGGTGACAAGGAGACCCGGAAGCAGCTGTGTGAATGGCTAAAAGGCTGTGGGAGGGTTTTGCTTGGCTGCTCAGTTGCAGGTCAGCCAGGGGCGTGGCCTTGCCGCACTGCTCCCTAGCGAAATTGAGGGGTGATCCCAGGTCCAGGCATGTGGTGAATCAGTGAGTACCCGTTCCTCCTGCGTTCTGCCCTGTCCTCTTTGTGACCTCTGCCTTCCCACAGGCTCACAGCACGCCCCCTCCTCCGACCCCCCCCACCCCCGCCGCTCCTACCTCTGCGCAGCCCAGTAGGACTGTCCTATCCTCTCTGGAGGCCGCGGCTCCCTCCCACTCTGACCTGTGTGCAGCTATCCCTCCATCTTGCCCGCAGCCCATAGCCTCTTAGTGTGGTCACTCCATTTAGCCTGTGTTCTCTGTCTCGGCAGTGGCTGCTCCCCGAGACGCTGAGATCCACAAGGACGTTCAGGTAAGGGTCCTAGGATCGCTGGTCTGTGGGAGTCCTCCCAGCAAGCAGCTTCTGGCAGTGCACGCTGAGGGAGGGCAGCCCGAGCTAGAATTACCCTGAGCAAAGGCCAGTTGGCTGTAATGAAGAGTGTGGCGGAGGCCTTGAGCTCTGCAGGCAACAATTCCAGTTCTTTTTCTCCTGGTTTCCTTCCGGTCCTTGGCTGTTGAGTCAGAACTACTACGGGAATGTCCTGAAGACATCAGCAGACCTCCAGACTAATGCTTGTGTCACCCCGGCCACGCTGGTGCCCAAGTACATCCGGGAAACTCTGAAGAATGTACATGAAGATGTTACTTCGAGGTAGTGCATATGCTGTGTTCCATGCAGCCTCCAGATTGCAATTTTCCCATCCTCGTCACTAGAGAACTTAGCCATCTCTGTTGGCTATCCTGCTCCTCCGTTGATCCCTCCCCATTGCAGGAGACATCCAAGCTCCGTGGACCCTGACACACGTTCAAGTTTTTCATAGATTGGTTCACACTCTCTGAACAGCCATGGCTCCTAGTCTTGCCTTTTCCTGGCATAGTATTGCCCACTCAGAGAGCAGTTACCTTACTCCCTGCCTCTCCAACACCTCACTGAAGTCCTCCTGGCATCATGAAGCCTTCTTCCCCCAAACACTACAGCACCCACTCCCAGCGGCACTGCCCATTCCCAGAGGCAATCACTGTCCACTCCCGCGGCACTCATGCCTGTCATTCAATCCCGGGAAGAGTTTTCCATACTGCAGCTTTTACCTCTCAAGTTACAGAGCGTGCACCTAAGAGAAAGAATACTTTCCTCTTTCAGCGGTCAGTGCCTTAGATGAATTTATTCAACAAATATTTTCGATGGTTTTCTTGAGTCTTGCTACCTTGCACGGTGCCCAGCAACACTGTACAGTGGCAGACATGGCCCCGGTTTAGTGGGAGAGACAACACAGAAATATCTGTGGGTGATGGAGGGACGGAGGGAGGGAAGTATAGATTTCCTATCTGAGCATTTCCTGGTCTGCTTTTAAAGCGTGTCTTTTCCATTCTCAGGTATTATGGCTGTGGTCTGGTTGTCCCTGAGCGTCTGGAAAGCTGCCAGGTTTTGGATCTGGGTTGTGGAAGTGGCAGAGACTGCTATATGCTTAGCCAGCTAGTTGGCGAGAAGGGTCATGTCACTGGAATAGACATGACTGAGGTTCAGGTAAGGCAAAGGCTTGGAGGAAAAGGAAAAGAGGTTTCATCAGAACATTCTTTGAGGCCTGAAACTGCTTCCCGATGTTCTTCATGGTATTTAAGAAGGCTGGGGGTTTTGTTGCTGTCATGTGTGCCTCTAGTGATCTAGAAGTTGAAGACATTGACAATCAATGACTGTCCTAGAGAAGTCAGTCAGAGGTTTAACCTGATACATCTATCAGTGGCATTTCCTCTCCTTTCTTCATCCTTCTGTTCAGGAAGATTGGTCATTGGTTAACTCAAGCAAGACTCACAAAGTTGGGAACTTGTGTCCCAGGCTCTTGCATATCTTTCATGTCACAAATCTTGAATATTTATCAAAAATAATCCAGGTCAGGGACACATATGGTATTAGCAATAGGACACATATGGTATTAGCAATAGGACAGTTCTCAGGGGGAAAGATTTATTTTTGAATAATGTTGATTACCAAATCTGTATTTTTCTTTCTCTAGGTGGAAGTGGCCAAAACCTATCTTGAGTACCACATGGAAAAATTTGGTTTCCAGGCACCCAATGTGACTTTTATTCGAGGCTGCATTGAGAAGCTCGCAGAGGCGGGGATCCGGAAGGAGAGCTACGATATTGTTATGTAGGGCTACAGTCTTTCTGCTATGAACAAAGTCCAAGTCGTTTTGAGCACACAAATGCTACCACTCTTTGATGAATTGACTCTTGGTATAAGGAATTAAACTAGGGGCTGGAGAGATAGCTTAGCAGTTAAGAGCACTGGCTGCTCTTCCAGAGACCTGATTAAATTCCCAGCACCCACATGGCAGCCCACATCTATCTTTAACTTCAGTTCTTGGGGATCCCGCACCCTCACACAGACACACATGCAGGCAAAACACCATTGCACATGTTATAAAAGTCAGTATTTTTAGAAAGTTTAAAAAAGAAGGAATTAAACTGAACTTAGCAGGCCTTCATAAAGGAAGGGAACTATAATGAGCCTTCTGCAGTCCATTAACAACAAAACACAGCTGCCTGAGAGAGAACTCAAAGTTGCTAGGTGTGTCTAGCCTCTGGCACACCCATGTGACCAAGGATAGGTATGGTTACAGTTCAACACAAAAGCATAAATTTAAACTACTATGTTTTTGTCACTCAGTTGTGTCTTTGTCAGTGTATGCTTACAAGAAGACAATGTCATGTTGCAGTGTCAACATGACTGCCCACCAAGCTAAATCCAGTGAGCTCCCCAGAGCAGCCAGACCACAGCCTACTCTCCTGGAACACATACTGACCTCTTACATGGAGTGCGATGGTGGGTTGTGTTGTAAGAAATTTGTATTGGAGCATCTCCTAATTGCGTGAACTTCAGCATGTACTTACCCAGACTTTGATGATAGGCTGTGCGGTGTACACAAAAAAGCCAGTCTATTGACACTAGGGCTTGACACACAGAACATCAGAGCAGCTCAGACACAAGAGGTGATGATGCTCTCTAGGGCTGTGGTAGTCACCCCAGACGTGAGAGACTGCTGTTGAAAGAGACCAGCTGTTTCACAGCACTTCTTTTTGTAAGCAGAGTAAGTTCATCATGAGATTGATAAAAGCACAGTAAACAAAATCTGGCAGCAACATGCTCACTAAGTGTGGTGCACCGTGCACCATCGCCTGTGTTGGACTTTCTCTAACCGGCAGCCAGGAAAGGTGTTGACTCCAGCCTTGACTCAAAGACTTGGTAATCTACTATGGCATTTCTCTGGCTGCTGCACTATTAGACAATAGCGAGCTTTATTGTGATCTAATGAGACTACCATCATGTATGTGGTATTCTTTTTTGTTTTCCTCGGTTTGAGACAGCGTCTCACTATGTGGTTATGACTAGCCTGGAACTTGCCATGTAGACCAGGTGACCTTGAATGTACAGGGATCTACGTGCATTTGCTTCCTGATTAAAGGCATATACCACCACATTTAGCAATGGCCATGGCACATTATGATGTTTTGTTTCTCATTTTCCTGAGTTATTGTTAATTGTGCTCAAGTGACAGGGTCTGCTGTGTTTTTTTCTTTTGATGCTGAGAATTGAACCTTAAAGAAGCATTTTACCACACACCCAACCCTGAGTGAAAATACTGGGAAAGCTGCCTTTGAGGGACTATGTCTGTTCTCATGTGGCTTGAACACCTTGTGTGATAGGCATCTGAGTCCAGGTTTTGTTTTGTTGCCTAGTAAACATCAGGACAAAAAAGGATGATGTTTCTTATTCACACTGGCACATTTGTGCTCACTGGCTGCTTACTGATATGTCTTAAACAAATGACCTATCTCCCTTATCTTGGGAAAAAGTTGAATATGGGGAAGAAAGGAGAGTCTGGAGGAACCAGGCAGCTTTGATGGTGAGATGGAAGCCCCTTTTAGGTCTTAAAGGATTTGAGTCCTTCAATATCTGATTTTTTTCCCTTCTTATGCTTTTAGATCCAACTGTGTTATCAACCTTGTACCTGATAAACAGCAAGTGCTTCACGAGGTTTATCAAGCGCTGAAGGTGAGGGGAGGGGGAAGATAAGTGATTATTATTTATATATTTACATTCTATCTCAGTTCCCCTCCCTCCTCTCCTCGTGCTCTCCCCTTCTCCCCCCATCCCACCCGCCATCAGCTCCTCAGTGAGGGTAATGCCTCCATGGGGATGATTTTTAAACACCAGAGAGGGCTGACAGGGTCATGTTCTTTGCTGGAACTAAGAATCCAAACCCTTGATTTATCCATCAAATTAAGAGAGGTCCAAGTTGGTTGTGGTGGAGGGTCAGTTCAGGTCCTCTTCTACACAGGGAGTTCGAGGCCAACCTCAATTACATAAGGAGGCTGTTTCAAAAGACAAAAAGTACATTAAAGGTAGGGCAGGGAGGGCGGGGACACTGTTGAAATATTCACCTCCTTTCCTGTTGTTCCTAGCAGCTGTTGCCTGTGACTCACAATAACATCCGCAGGAGTCCCAGGACCCAGGTGATCCTCCCTGAAAAGTCTTTACAAATTTGACTTTTCCTAGAACACCTGTGACTCACAATAACATCCGCAGGAGTCCCAGGACCCAGGTGATCCACCCTGAAAAGTCTTTACGAATTTGACTTTTCCTAGAACACCGCCTGTTTCTCAGTAATATTATTTCTGATGCCAAGATATCTTTGGAAAATCTAAGATGGAAATTTTATGCGAATGCCTTTTTGAAGGGGGTTTGGAGGACTTGAGGTGGAGTTCAGCGGGAGACATGATTAGTGTACACAAGGCCCAATCCCAAGCACTGTAAATACAAATTCCAGGATTTTTGGCTTCCGGGGCTATTACATAGCTCAAATAGAAGATTCTAGTAAGGGCTCGGGTGAGGTTCAGCGGTTAAGAGTACTGGCTTCTCTCCCAGAGCACCAGGTTCAGTTCTCAGCATCTACAAGGCGGCTCACAACCATCTGTAACTCCAGTTCTAGGTGCTCTGATGCCCTCTTCTGGCCCCCAAGGGTACCAGAGCACAGATATCCATGCAGGCAACCACTTAGGTAGGCATGTAAAATAATGAAATAAAATTTTAAAGTATCAGTGTAAGAAGGATCTCATGATAGTTCCAGGATGCCATTTTGTAGACCAGTTCATGAACTTCACTGAGATCAACTAAGAGAAACTAAACATTGCTATAGAATATACACATCCATACTTTTGAAATTAATTAATTAACACCTTAAGTTCCTGATGATTCATTTGACATAGATGTTAAGGGCATATAAAAATTTTAATGTAATAATATCACTGTGATTTTCCTTCTTTTCTCCCTTCTTTTTTTTTTTTTTTTTTGAGTCAATTGTCTTACCACTCGGCAATCACAGCCGCACTTCTTTCTTTCTTAAAAAAGTTTTGTTTTGTTTTGTTTTGTTTTGAGACAAGATTACTGTGTATACCCCTGGCTATTCTGGAACTCATGATATATTTCAGGCTGACTTCCAATTTAGAAATCCCCCTGCCTTCACCTCCTGAATGCTGAGATTAAAGGTGTGCACCATTACTGCCTGACAATCTCTCCCCAAGACAGAGTTTCTCTGTATAGCCTTGGCTGTTCTGGAACTCGATCTGTAGACTCACAGAGATCTGCCTGCCTCCTCTGCCTCCCAAGTGCTGGGATTAAAGGCATGTGCCACCACTAGGCTCAATTACTGTAATTTTCAAGCAGTAAGACTGTTCATTCTATGGATTTGTCTGTTAGTGGTCTAGACACCTAAGGCTACTGGGACTTGCTAAAAATTTAGGCAACCTGAATGTATTTAGGAGAGACATTCATTCTTCCTCTACTGTGTTCTTGTTTAAAAACTCCCTGTTAACTCTTTCCTTTCTGAGTCAATCAAATTTGTGTTGGATAGGACACTGGAGAAATTAAATGCCTCTGTCCCTGTGTGTTGATTTCAACGTTCAAAGGTCAGCTGGGTCAGTATCAGCTCAAACACAGAAATTTTGAAGGTGAACTCCTGCACTCATCAATTTTTTCATTATCTGTATCAGTGTAATCTTTAACCTTGCTCGAACTGTGCCCTGCTCTTTTTCAGTATGGTGGGGAACTATACTTCAGTGACGTCTATGCTAGCCTTGAAGTGCCAGAAGACATCAGGTCCCACAAGGTTTTATGGGGTATGTGCTCTTGTTTTATTGATATCAATGACTATGCCTAGTGTAGAGCCCTAACCTGCAAGGAAGCAGGGGTGAGACCACTAGATGGGAGAACACTGGTGTAAGGCCAGAAGGTTCTATTCTTTTTCTACCACCCAGCAACAACATGAGGGCCAGTGAGCTGGATCCCTGGATAAAGGCACTTGTGGTTCAAGGCTGGCAATCTGAGTTTGCTCCCTGGAACTCATGTAAAGGTGGAAGGAGAGAACAGAGTCCACAGAGCTGTCCTCTGACATGTGACACGTGACATGTGCCCACGTGCCCCCCAAACTATGTAGATAAACTTTTTTTAAAAAGCAAAGTAATCTCAGGCAGTTAAATTATCTTTTATCATTTTCTAGACTGTAAAATGAAAATAAGAACAGACTAAAATCTATTTTGAAGAATAAATGAGATATTTATTCCTTTAGTGTCATTTAAGAGTCTCTAGAAGTTTCAGAGAAAAATGCATGTTCATGATCAGTCTGACTGAAAATAACAACTTCAGCATTAAGCTGATACATGCCTGTGATCTCAGCTCTTTGGAGATGAAGAAAGGGATCAGTGCCCATTCAAAGCTGGCACGGGCTACAGGATGAGACACAGTCTCAAAAACACATCTTGTTTTTAAAACAGATTGTGTTAACTTTTTCCTTACTATACAATAATATAAATGGATGATGTTAAAAGCAGGAAATAGGGCCTATGAGGTGACTCAGTAGGTAAATCACTTTTGTTACATGCCTGATGAGGTGAGTTCAGTTTCCAGAACTCATATAAAAAGATGCATGATGGCTGGGCGGTGGTGGAGGCAGATGCAGGTCGATCTCTATGAGTTCAAGGCCAGCCTGGTCTACAGAAGGAGTGGCAGGATAGGCTCCAAAGCTGCACAGTGGAACACTGTCTCCAAAAACAGTAAAAAAAGGTGCATGAAGAGAATAGACCTCTGATCTCTATGTGTCCCACCCAAGAATATAATATATATATATATATACATATATATATTATATAGTATATATTGGGAAGAGATGACTCAGTGGGTAGAGGGGCTTGCTGCCAAATCTGACAGCCTGAGTTTAAACCCCATGGTAAAAGGAGAGATCCAACCCCTGAAAGTTGTCATCTGGCCTCTACATGTGCACTGTGGCATGTGCTGTCTCTCATACACATAGAAGACAAATATGTATATATATATGCATGTATGTAAATAAGCCGAGTATTGTTACACACCTTCAATTCTAGCATTTGGGAGGCAGAGGCTGGCAGATCTCTATGAGTTCAAGGACTGGCCTACATAGAAAATTCTAGGCTGGCCAAGGCTACATAGTGAGAGGCTATCTCCAAAAAAGTAAGATGGTAAAAAAGCAAAGTAACTAAAACAAAACATTTCTAAAATTTAAAAAAATGTAATTTTATTTGGACTTATTTCCTTAAACCTTTTTAAAATTTTATTTTATGTATGTGGATATTTTGCCTGTGTGCTTGTCTGGGTACCAAGGGCATGACTGGGACCTATAGAGGCCATATGAGGGTGTCTGATCTTCTAGAACTAGAGTTCTAGACAATTGTGAGCTGCTGTGTGGGTGCTGGGACTCAAACATGGGTCCTCTAGAAGAGCAGCCAGCGCTCTCAACCTCAGGACCATGTCCCCAGCTCCAGTCTAAACAGTATAAATAGTGTTACACAACTGTGTTGTTCAGCTTGAAGTGTTTGTTTACGGGTGACCATGATGCTTGTCTCCAACTTATTCCTGTGATGCATGAAACCTGTGTGACTATCTTTGCACGTGAAAGGAATCTGTAAAAGTGCCTTGTGAATGTTAGTGGTAGTCATTGTTCTAGGAGTAGAGCATTATGAGTCTCTTCTGGAGCTAAGAGGTGGCTTTTATGCCATTTTATTCCCATTCACAGTGCCTTTCAGAGTATGACTTAACACACACACAAGGGTTACAGTTGTGTCTTAGTAGGACTGTCCTGAATGATTCTCAGAGACCCTAAGCTGACAAATTCTGGGGTTAATCATCACTTTCTAGACATTGTGGTTGCTTCCAGGCCCTATTCTTTTGGTTCAAATTTATCATAATCATATTTTTTTCTTTTTCTTTCTTGGTAGTTTGAGAGAAACAGGGTTTCTCTGTGTAGTTCTGGCTACCCGAGAACTTGTTTTGTAGGCCAGCTGTCCTGGAACTCACAGAGATCCACCTGCCTCTGCCTTCCTAGTTTGGGATTAAAGGCATGCGCCACTATGCCTAACTATTATCTTCATTATTACTATTACTTTTTTGTTTTGAGACAAGGTCTCGTGTAGCCCAGGCTGACCTTGAACACTTCATTCTCCCTCCCAAGTGCTGGGATTACAGGTATATGCCACCCCATTTGCTCCTGTGTGGTGCTGGTGCAGGGGTTCAAATTTGAGACTCTGAGCATTCTGGGTAAGCCCTCTTTCAACCAAGCTGTATCCTTAGCTCCGGTGGTTTGGTTTATTGAGAAGGGTCTCACACTCATCGGGATGGTCTTAGACTCCTCATTGTCTTGCTTCTGTCCTCCACATGCTGGAGTTACAGGTGGGCACCCCATGACCAGTTAGGCCTTACATGGTAATACTATGTCCTAGTTAATTGTGTAGGCTATACATTTTGACGATGCTGCTGTGTTTATTGTTTGATCTGTAATTTTTTTTTAAGGTGAATGCTTGGGTGGTGCTTTGTACTGGAAGGATCTTGCCGTCATTGCCCAAAAACTTGGGTTCTGCCCTCCACGTTTGGTCACTGCCAATATCATTACAGTTCACAACAAGGAGCTAGAAAGTGTAATCGGTAAGAAACAATGGCGGAGACTGTGAGGCTACAGTGGGAATGGCTTCAGGTCAGTGGTTAGTTAGTTTAGTGAGTGATTTTTTTTAAATGAATGTTAGCGTTTTGCCTTCATGTGTGTCTCTGTGAGGGTGTCAGGTTCCCCAGAACTGGAGTTACAGACAGTAGTGAACTACCACCTGGGTGCTGGGAATTGAACCTGGGCCCTCTGGAAGAATCGTTGGTGCTCTTAACCACTGAGCTACCTGTCCAGCACTCTTAATGAGTGGTTCTAACAAGGAGGACGGCAACATCTGCAAGCGTCCGCCTTGTCCCCTGAGTGCGCTCCGCCCCTCCCTAGAGCAGCGCTTCATAAAGCGTCTGAACCCACTCAGTACATGGACTGAAGCGCCCAGAGATAACTGGTGGCATTGGGTGAAGACACTCACCCTTGCAGTGTGCATTGTCCTCATTTGTTGAATGCCGCTGGGGTGCAGGAAGTGAGCCCTGTGTATCTGCCTTCAGGTGACTGTCGCTTTGTGTCTGCCACGTTCCGGCTCTTCAAGCTCCCTGAGACCGAGCCAGCTAAAAGATGCCAAGTTGTTTACAAAGGTGGAATCACAGGGCATGAGAAAGAACTAATCTTTGATGCAAATTACACATTCAAGGTAAAAAAAGAAGTTTTCCATGGGGATGGCAGTGTGGCTCAATGGCAGAGCGCTTGCCAGCATGTTCAAGGCCCCGTCCCATGCTCCATCTTCAGCTTTGTGGGGCGGGCAAGGCTGGTGCCCGCTATTTCTGCAGCATTCCCTTGCCCCTGTGCCCCCCACGCCCCCAGCCACAGTGCCTTCCCTGGACCTTGAATTTGACCTTAAATTGCTTCTCACTATTCTGATGTTGGTTGGTTGGTGTGTAATTTTGCTTTTTCCTTAATCCAAGTCTTCATTTTACTTACAGTAGAGGAATAAACTTTTTATACCTTCCTTTGACCAGTGATTCCAAGGCATAGAAATTAACAAACTCTTTTAACTAGTTTAACATATTTTAGACTTAGTAAGTGCTTCAAGTTTGGAATTCCTAATCAGAACATATTACCGGAATGAATACCCAGTGGCGAACCCTGGTATAGAGGGGCCGGGGTGATCTTCAGAGCCCTCAGCTCTCGAGAGGCGGCAGAGACGCACAGCTGTGTGCTCCCTTTGATATCGTTAGATGCCTGGGTGGATTTTCCTCCCATGAGGAATTTGTCAAATGTCCATTGCATGGGATCTCTAGCCTTTGGGCTACTCTGATATTTTGACCTATTTACTCATTCTAGGTGGCATCCTGGGAAGTCACCTTTTAAGATTCCGCATGGCTGTCACACCCTCCGGATAATTCAATGGCACTGCTGCCATTCCAGTGATGCATTCTTAATCCATCTATTCCTTCAAAGAACTTACTAGGCTCACCAAAAAGTCTCCTGGGGGAGATCCTTCCTGGTCCCCGATTGTCGTTTGGCTTCTTTCTCCCTCTGGCTGGCAACTGTGTTTCTCCAACCTTCTTGAATGTTCTTCTCATTTCTTTAGACTCTTGCTTTTCACATTTAGTGTTCTGCAGCTTTCTGAGCACCTGCTGAATTTCTTTCCATCTCCATCATAATCCAGTTAAGACAAAGGCAGCGTGGCAGGCTCTTCTTCCCAGTGGTCTGAGTCTGTATGCCTGGTGGTTCTGTCATTGTCTTGGATGGAGGCATTTGGCTTTGTGAGTTGATAAAGGACACGGACTCTCTTGACACATGGAATGGGCATCATTTAAGGCTTTAGTGTCGGCCTTTCTTCCCATTTACCTGACAGCCATTTCTGTCCAGGCTTTTCCCCCACTTCACGCCCCCGAGTCAGGGTCTTACTGTATTTAGGTCTTGCTGGTCTAGATCTCACTGTGAAAAGCAGGCTGCTCTTGAACTCAGAATACTCTGCCTGCACCTCTATCCCTGCACTCTGGAATTGAAGGCTTGTGCCACTACTGCTGGTCTCATCTTATTCCTGGAGGGATGTCAGCAACTGTTTCAGTTGTAGCTTCATTGTCAGTTTTTAGGTCACTCTTGTCATTCGGTGGCTCATCTGTCTTTGTTTCCTCTGTCTCTCGCTGTGTTTTGACTCCTTGACGTTCTCTTCTGCTTTAGTGTGATGGGTAGCAGATGGCCCTCACCACCCCACTCCGTTCTTCCCACGCATCTGCAAACCTTTCCTTGGTGTATAGGAAGCTCACATCTAGCTCACACACTTCTCAAATGTTTCATGATCTCACTCTGTCAAGCTCCATGGTGGGGAGGTGGGGGGAGGCTGAGGAGCTATACCTGATCACAGGGGTGGGTGCCATACTGCATGACTCCTGCTTGTGTGCATGTATTAATTAAGTCGGAAAATGATTGTTCTCAATGTTATACAATATTTTTACTTGCATTACGGTTAACGAATAGTACAATAATGCCAGGTGGTGTTGGAGAACACCTTTGATTTTGGCACTCAGGAGGCAGAGGCAGGTGGATCTCTGTGAATTTGAGGACTGCCTGGTCTACAGAGTGAGTTCCAGGGCAGCCAATGCTATATACGATTACCCATTTTATTGCTCAATTGAGAACATTTTTTATGTTTGCCTTATTTGTGTATAAACATATGTGCATGTGTATGCATATATTTCAGTCAAGAAAACACTATATACAATGGCAGTGCCATAGATTATAACAGAGTTGAAAATGCCCTGGAGAGATGGCTCGGCAGCTAAGGGCACTGGCTGCTTTTTCAGAGGATCCATGGTTCAATTCCCAGCACCCACATGGTAGCCTACACCTGCCTGTAACACTAGCTCCAGGAGATATGACAGCTTCACACAGACATATATGCAGGCAGAACACCAATGCACATAAAATAAAAATAAAGGCACATTGGAAACAATTGAAAGAAAAAGAGAAAGGAAATGCTGTCTCCCAGAGACACACAGCAGTCACAGCGCCATGGAGCAACACATCGCTCGTGTGTGCGGTGCTGTTGCATAGCATGCACAATTACAGACAGCACACACCACTTGATAGTGATAATAAAGGACAGTGTCACTGAGTTATATATTTGCTATCCTTTCTACTGATGTGTTAAACTATACTCTTTCTTTTTTATTTTTACTTATTTTTAAAAATTTAGGTTTGTGGCCAGGCAGTCGGTGGTGGTGCACAGCTTTAATTCCAGCACTCAGGAGGCAAAGACAGGTGGATCTCTGTGAGTTTGAGCCAGTCTGGTCTAAAGAGTGAGTTCCAAGGCAACCAGACCTGTTACACAGAGAAACCCTGTCATGCAAAAGCAAAGCAAAACAAACAAACAAACAAAATGAAGTTTATTTTTAAGTGTGTTATGTGGGGATTGGTTATGCACATGAGTACAGTGCCCACAAAAGCCAGAAGTTGTTGGATTCCCTACACCTGACTGGGAGCTGGAAACCAAACTCAGAAAGTGCTCTCAACCACTGAGTCATCTCTTCAGATCCTTCTCTTATATTATTACGTGCGTGCGTGCGTGCGTGCGTGTGTGTGTGTGTGTGTGTGTGTGTGTGTAAGTTGACATTGAGTGTCTTCATGGATCATTCTTCATCCTCTATACTGAGGTCCTTGACCCAAGCTTTCTGATTTGACTAATCTAGCTACCATCGGGCTTCAAGGAATTCAGGGATCTCCCCGCCCCCGAGACAGCTTTTCTCTGTGCAGCCCTGGCTGTCCTGGACTAGCTATGTTGACTAAGTGGGCCTTGAATTCCGACATCTACCTGCCTTTGCTTCCCAAGGGCTGGCATTAAAGGCATGCACCACCACCTCCTGGCTGCTTCGGGAATTTCTAGTGTCCAAATTCTAGCAGCAGTGTTACAGGCTGCCATGCCCTCTGTGGGCCAAGCATCACATTTTGCGCAAGCTAAGGCCAAGTATTGTTTCCTGTCCTGAGGTGCTGGGGAGGCTCATTCCTAGAATCTGATAGAAATGAGGCCAAGGAGGCATGGAAGCAGTCTTCAGGAGGGAAAATTCGGTAAAAATTTTAAGGAAGAAATCCCTGGATCTTATCACCAAATCTGCCAGCCACCGTCCTGGTCTGCTTTTGTTTCTCTTTTTCACCCCTTGTATCTGACACAATGTTTGTATGTGGCACATGGTAGAATTGAAATAACAAGGAACACAGTGCGGCCTAAAGAAGCAAAGGTACTGGATGAGAAGAGCAAGCATTTTAACTCCCCAAGAATCTCTGTATGTCCCCATTCTCCTCAGCCAGGGGAGTGCATGTCTCCCCCTGCTCCTGGTTTCTCCCCTTATGAATGATTTCATTTACTTGAAGGATTTCACATGATTTATTATCTTTTTAAAAGTATTTTCATCTATGTTCGTGAGTGAATGTATGTGTGTGCATGCCACATGTGTTTAATCCTCCACAGAGGCAAAACTGGTCCCTAGACCCCAGGGAGCTAGAGTTCTAGGTGGTTTTGAGATGGCTGACATGGACACTGCACACTAGGAACTGAACTCTGGCCCTCTGCAAGAGCATCATCAAGTAGTTTTTTGTTTTGTTTTGTTTTTTAGCTATTTCTTCATGTGTATGGTGCTGTGCCTACATTCGTGTCTATGTATCATGTGTATGCCTGATACCCACAGAGGACAGAAGAGGGCTCAAAACAGTTGTGAGATGCTATGTGGGTGCTGGGAATCGAACTCAGGTCCTTTGAAAGAGCAGCAGTACACTTAGCCACGGAACATTCTCTCCAGACAAATGTATAACCCTGGTTTTTGGGGGGGTTTCGAGACACAGTTGCTCTGTGACTTTGGAGGCCGTCCTGGAACGAGCTCTTGTAGACCAGGATGGTCTTGAACTCACAGAGATCAGCCTGCCTCTGCCTCCGAGTCCTGGGATTAAAGGTGGGTGCCACCATCAGCTAAAACAATAAGTTTTAAGAGTAAAGGCTCAAAGCTGAAGCTTGTTGTGAAAAATTTGATTATCACTATTCCCTGCTTAAGAGCTAGTTGTCTGTGACTCTTTTACACATGGGGAGTTTTACTATTACTGCGGGGGTCTCGTCCCTTCTAGGCTTTATTCTACAGCAAGCCAGGACTTTTTTGATAGGTAGTCTTTTGTTCTGTTTAGAGGAGGAACAGGTTGAGGTTAGAGGAGGATGGATGAGAATAGAGGGTTGATAATAGATTTCTTAGAATTTATGTGTTTTTTAAAGATATGTTTTACATGTTTCACTTTCATGTTACGTGTATGAGTGCCTTGCTTGCATGAATGTGTGTACACCAAAGGTGCCACTGGTGCCTGAGGAGACAAGGAAGCATTTGATTCTCTGGAGCTGGAGTTTTGGATGGTTGTGAGTCACCACAAGGTTGCCAGGGCCCGAACCTGTGTTGTCCGGAAGGGCAGCGGGTTCTCCTAACTACTGAGCCATCTCTTCAGCTCCCCTCTTTGGTTTTTATATGTGTCTTAATTACTTTTCCATTTTTACCATCTTTTAACTTAGATGTGGTTATAAATTATATGTTTATATGTTTTATAAATTACCAATCTATTATTTCTTTTTAAAAGACGATTTAAATGCCAGTTAAAGCAGACTTCTATTTATGATTTTCTTTTTATTGAACTCTGTGTGGCACATGGCTTTACCCAGTACTTGGAAGTTAGAGGCAGGAGGATCTCTAAGAGTTGGAGGCTAGCCTGGTCTCAAAAAAGAAAAAAACCCAAACGAGAAAAATTATATTACCTAGGACTGCTAGTTAGTGTGCAAAATAAAACAATTTAGAGGTTTATTTAGAGGGTCTGGAGAGATGGCTCAGAGGTTAAGAGCATTGTTACTTGTGCAAAGGGCCTAAGTTTGATTTGATTCCCAGCCGCAAAGGCGTCTTACAACTACCCATAATTCCAGTTCTGTTGGATCTTGCGATCTGAGTGCCTTTTGTAGCACTGTCATCTGAAAAGCTGACCATCTGAAACACACGGTGAGAGAGCAGCACATGAGAAGGCCGGTGTGGTCCTTCCCCTGAATAAGCTCCTGCACATTTCCTAAGGAGATTGAAGCGCAGTCAGGGGCTCCGCACGGAAGGGTGCTTGCCTGGGAAAGCCTGGCAACGTGATTTGATTCCTAGAACCTGATGGACCAAAGTGACATCTTTTGATACTCACTTGATGCTGCTCTTTAGGAAGGTGAAGCTGTTGACGTGGATGAGGAGACCGCAGCTGTCTTGAAGAACTCGCGTTTTCATCAAGATTTTCTCTTCACACCTGTGGACTGTTCTGAAGCAGAAACAAAGGTTTGTTTGACTTTCAATTCCCTGCTTCAAACAGATCTCTAAAACAACCACAAACTACAGACGCTGCTGAAACCAGTCTTCTTGGCAGCTGCTTCCTACAACCAGTATGCATAGGTGATTTGACTTGACAAATCCCTTTTGTTAAAGATTTATTTTATGTGTATGGGTGTTCCGCCTGCCTGTTATGTCTATGTACTGTGAATCCCCTGGAACTGGAGTTACGGATGGCTATGAGCTGTCATGTAGACGCTCAGGATCAAACCTGGGTCCTCTGGAGGAGCAGCCAGTGCCCTTAACCACTGAGTCATCTCTCAAGCCCCGAGATTCTTTTTTCTCCCAATTCTTAATGAGTCAATGATAATCTTTGAGTCTTTAGAATATCTGTGAGTTAACGGAATAGATGGTATCTGTATGCCCCCTACAATTGTGTGTGTGTGTGTGTGTGTGTGTGTGTGTGTCACAGTGCATGTGCAGAGGTCAGGGGATGGCTTGTGGGAGCTGCCTCTCTCTTTCCATCATAGGGTTTAGGTATTAAACTCGGGTCATCAGCTTTGACGCAAGCACCTTTACCTGCTGAGCCCTTTGGTCTGCTCCCCATTTTATGCTTTTATAAGTGTATGATTCAGTGGCATTTAGTTCACTCATAAGGTTGTACAACCAACCATACTCTCTACTTCCAAAATTTTCACCAGCTCATACCCATTGAGCATCTATTTCCAGTCCTCCTCCCTCTGGTACTCAGCAGTGGCTAGCTGACTTGACTCTATGGTTCTGCCCCGTTAGGACATTGTGTATGGGTAAACTCACGCACGCATGGCCTTTTGTACCTGACTCTGCACCTGTGTTCCAAAGCTGCTTCTTCATTTGGAGGGTGCATCAGGGCTTCACTCCTCTTGGAGTAGGGCTAGAAGACATTTGTTCATCTGTCCTGCTTCTTGGAGACTATAAATAGTGCTATTAGGAACATGAATATGCAAATACTTGTTTGAGTTTCTGCTTTCAAAGATTTTTTTGCATCTATACCTAAGAACAGAATTGTTTTGTCTACATTTCTAAGTTTTGGTGGCTTTTGGTATTTTGTGTTTGTTTTTGAGACAGGTTCTCACTGCACAGGCCTTGGCCAGCCTGGAACTCAGTATGTAGGCCAGCTGGTCTTGAACTCACAGAGACCCACTTGTCCCTGCCTCTAGAGTACCGGGTGAAAAGGAATGTGCCACCATGCTGGGCCTATTCCCAGCTTGTAAAGGGCCACCAGACTGTTTTCCACAATAGCTGCACTGTCTGTATCCCTAGCAGTGTCACCGGGACACAGCAGTCCTTGTTGCTGGTCACCATTCGAGGCAAGAGCAGGGACAGAATTGAGTCTCTGAGTTGTGTTTACCAGAACGCATATGATCTTCGAAGGCTGTGACCTAATACCCTAAAAACTGCCTTCCCTTATCGACGGTCAGCAGCCTTAGGAGAGCCCGGAAATCATTCCCCAGCCCTCTTGTCCCTCTTGTCAGGTGGCCAGCCTTGTCCCTGAGATTCTATGATGTCAGCGCCTCCGTCCTTATCATCTCTTGCCCTCTTCCCTTGTTCTCGGAACATCTGGGTCAACTCTGGTCAGCTTCTTCCTTTATCGTCTTTGTCTCCTCCAGGACCATCTGGCCTGGGGAGGTAACTTGGAACAAAGAAGCCACTGGCAAGAATGTGTCCATGCAGACCCCTTGCTATCCTACAAGGTTCAAATGCGCCCTCAGAACATAGAATACAAAGGTGTTCTCATCTGTCTCTCCAGTTCCATCGTGAGCCGTAACCCCCGTAAGTCTGTACTGATGGACAGCGGCTCTGTTGCTATGCAGTAAGTAGTTAGCATGGCTTCTCATCAGTATGGAGTTTCCAGAACAGAGCTGTACACACCAGGGCATATCCTGTGCAACAGCAAGCGGTTATGCTAAGAAAGATTCTTAATCAAGGACAAATAGGAAGGCTTCCCAGATCCTGGAAGGTTCCCAAGCCAGAAGGCAAGACAAGACAGATGGAAACTGAAGAAATCGGCCCTCCTCTCCGTTTCATCAGAGATGACTCTATGAACCATCATGACCTGTTGTTAGGCCTGTTTGATTCATTTGCCTTTCTAAATTTTATTTCTTCATTTATGTTCATTTATTTATTTATTTATTTATTTATTTATTTATTGTTGATACAGTGTTTCTCTGTGTAACAGTCCTCCCTGTTCTGGAATTCACTCTGTAGTTGGCCTCCATTTCACAGAGATCTGCCAGAGGCTGGGTTTAAAGGTGTGCACCACCACTTCCTGGCTTATTCATTTTTTTTGTGAGTTTGTTTTTGATTTTTCGAGATAAGGTTTCTCTGTATTGCTTTGGAGCCTGTCCTGGAACTCCCTCTGTAGGCCAGGCTATCCTCGAAATCTTGTAGATCTGCCTGCCTCTGCCTCCCGAGTGCTGGGATTAAAGGTGTGTGCCACCAACGCCCAGCCTTCTTTTCAGGATTCTATAATTGTTCTCCCATGTGCCCTGTACTCTGGTCTCAGAAATTATCCTTCTCCCAAAATTTTCAGTTTTCTGTTGTTTGTACTTTATTGTAGTTTATACGATGAGCATATATCGTTATACAGATATACAGAGAAGACTGGTGTTTTCCCCACAGTCTTTAAGAGAATCGAGTGTATTAGAGACCGGCTGTGTCTGAGGGCTGACGGAGGTGCTGAGGGAGAGGCAGACAGATCCAGGTCTGCCTCTGTTTTCATTTATGGGGAACTGCAGGCAATGCTGATACTTAGGGCTACTTTGGAGACAATAGCCATGGTAGCTACAGCTGAAGATGGCTGCAGTCATACCAAGATCAATCTTTGTTGTTGTTGTTGTTGTTTTTGAGACAGGGTCTCACTATGTAGCCCTGGCTGTCCTGGAACTCTCTCTGTAGACCAGACTGACTGTTTGAACTCACAGACATCTGCCTGCCTCTGTCCTTCCAGTGCTGGGATTAAAGGCAGGTGCCACTACCATCCAGCTCCAAGACCAATCTTTACACAACATTCCTTATAATTCTTTCTGTCTCACGTGCCTTCCTGGGCCATGGTATACCCTGATCGCGCAAGTGATAGCTCTGTGTTGCATGGGCTGTGAGGCCATTAGCTCAATTTGTAAACAAAGTCCACAGCGACAGAAGTGCTGTATGGGAAGAGACCAGACACGTATGAAAATAATAACAATGTGGATCAAGACATAACCCACCTTTTCTGCCAGAGTCACCAGAACAAAATCGACAATTTAGCATATCATCTCCTACAAAAAGGGTAAGAGCCGGGCGTTGGTTGTGCATGCTTTTAATCCCAGCACTCAGGAGGCAGAGGCAGGCAGATCTCTGTGAGTTCGAGGCTAGCCTGGCCTACACAGGGAGTTCCAGGACAGGCACCAAAGCAATACAGAGAAACCCTATCTCGAAAAAAGCAAAAACAAACAAACAAAAATGTCATGATGTGTTGTTGGGTGTTACCCCTAACAGCATGTCCTGGGAAATGCTCTGGACATTGTCAGTCAGGCACAGGTTCTCAAGACCTTGACAATCTCCCTCAGAGGAAACACTTGTTGAAGCCAGTAGACGCTTGTTTCCCTAACCACTATGCCATCCGTGATGTGTGTTTTGTACACAGCCCAGTCATCAGTGTACTTGACCAGCAGTCATGCCTACATGCTAGCAACTATGCCACCCAGGATTTTGCTCATTGGCTGTCGTGGTTTTCTGCTGTCTGAAAAGCCAGATGCTATCAGTGGCAGGTTGTGCTGCCGTGTGGACACTGGTTTCCAGCTGAGCCATCTGCACACCTCACATTTCCCAGTGGAAGTGAAGCCCCATCCAGAACCGTAGCCTGAGGTGGTGAGGCAGCTCTGTAAGTAACTGGGTTCCACACCTGGTCTACAGAGTGAATCCCAGAACAGGGAGGACTGTTACACAGAGAAACCCTGTATCCATAATAAATAAGTAAATATAAATGAAGAAATAAAATTTAGAAAGCCAAGTGAATGAAACAGGCCTAAGAACAGGTCATGATGGTTCTAGAATCATCTCTGATGAAACGGAGAGGAGGGCGGATGTCTTCAGTTTCCATCTACCAAGCCTGCTGCCTAGAACTGGTAGGGGGTCTGCCCTCAGTGGCTTTCTAGTTGGCCAGCTTGCATGGTGACCAGTGAGTGATGTGTCTGTTCTCCACTTTGGACGAGGGCACTGTGCACGGTGCGAAATTGATGCCCATCCAGTTTGCCTCCCTCTAGAGCTTAGAGCAGGTACCTCTAGTTCTTGCCAGAGATCCCAGCTCATGCCATCTGGTGGGCAGGGGACACCTATCCGGTTTGGCAAACCTGGTAGAGGGGTGCCCAGAATCTGCACCTTGGCTATCCCTATGTGCATCTGTATATTGTTCACCATGCAGGAGGCACAGGGGGCGCAGGAGGCTGGAAAGCTCGTGTCTTATCTCCTACTCTGCCTGGAAACAAGTGGGTCTTATCTTGTCTGGCCCCACTCCAGGAACCTCATGGGTGGCCTAGAGCCTTGGATCTTGCTGGAGTCAATGGCCTGTCTCCTCTGTCAGAGGAGATACACCTTCATCCTGCTGTGTTCTGCGAGAGAATGTAACCTTCCTCTTTCCCCAGGTTATTTTGACAAGAATGGGACCAGATAATAAATACCAGCTTGGAGTGGGTCTGAGTCACCATGCTTTCCCGAGAAAGAGCCAAGTGAAGGCACAGTAACCGGTCTCGGGAGTTAGTGCTGTATGATTGCTGAGAAAGGTGTGGGCACAGGCAAGGGAGGATGGGCCTTTTTGGGGGGGTCCCTGGGTAATACAGGCATAGGCACTCCCTATAATTCACAGTCACTCCCCACGTTTCCTGTGGCTTGTTGCAGGCGCTGTGGGCAAACTGATGTCCCAGCCTGCTCTGATTGTCTTGTTGCTGATGTCAGCATGTCTCTTTCTGCTGCTATCCATCCGGCGACAGAAAGGGTCCCATTTTACTTCCCGTTGCATTACCACCTTGGCTACCCCATTCTTGATTCCTGATTCTCCCACAGGAGTCCTCATGTCTTCCCTAATAGAGCAGCCACCTCTTGGTTCCCTCCAGGATCCGGCTGCCTCCCAGAAGTCAGTATCACAATACAGATGACTCCCGTGGTCTTGCCCTATAACCTTCAGTAGCTGTCCCAAGTCTGCAGAACGTCCTGGGTTGCCTTGGAGTCCTGTTCTTTCAGTGCCCATATGTCAGAGCGGTGTTCTTTCTCCCTTTGTCTTTGAGGACTAATTAAATAGTTAACCCTGCGAGACTCTACTCCTTCTGTGAACTTTTGCTGTGAGGTATCTCTAGCCCTGCTCCTCATCCCGGGGAGTTGGTGGCCCCTTCTTATTTTGCTATTAATGCTGGATTATAGAGCTCCCGCCCTTCCTAGGAAACGCTGTTCCCTTGTGTAGGTTTAGAGTCCTTCCCAAAGCCTCGCGAGACTCCAGCTTGTGGGTCTGTCTTTTCCACAGGACAGCTCGCACAAAGCAAACCTGTTACATCTGCTTTCTTGTTATCTCCTTCCACCCTCCATTTACTCTTCTCTCACTTTGGTTTGACCTCTCTTCCTATCAGAATTGGCGGCAAATCACACCCTGTTCAGGTTATTTTATGTCTGTCCCAAGTTGGTAATAGTCTGACCTGTATCAGAAACATCCTGTCAAACGAGGGCGGGGGGGGGGGGGGGCGTGCCATTCTCAAGGAGCGCTTTGACAGCTTGTTTTCCATTCCGCACGTGAAAATGCCTTCACAGGTCCTGAAGTCCTGGGTGGCAGTGGTTTGTCGCTGCTCAGTTCAGGCGGTGGCCGGGGCTCTCTCAGTGCTTTTCACAGAGTGCTTTTGTCCTGGCAGGTGTCCCCTGACTCAGTCATGTCTGTCTGACGTCCACGGGGATCCAGTACGGGGTACAATGATTTCTTTGGTTGTGGTGGGCACTCTGCAGGTGCTGCCTAAGAGATACATGAGTTGACATTATTATTTATTTTCTCAGCTTTATTTCCCACCAGAGAAATGCCACCGCCTCCATGTTCCAGGCTCTCACTTTTCAGACCCATTGTGGTAGAGCCTGCAGGAGCCACGATTCTCAGCTTTATAGTATTGAGTATGTGGGCTCTGGAGGGCTCTGGCTGGCACATATGCTGTGCCTTTCTGCTGGCCTTTTGACTCCTGTAATGCCAAGTGAAAAGGCAAGGCTCATAGGCAAAGAGTCACCAACCTCCATCCGCAAGCAGCCTCAGTTTCTCCCTCAAACCTGTCTTCCTGGGACTCTCGCCTTCCACACCCCTCTCTCACTGCAAGATAACAGCTTGGATCTTTGCTGACAGCCCACCCAGCAGGCGAGGACCTTACACTTGGTATCATGTTTTCCCACTTTCAAAGGGAAATAGAGGTTTGGAGAGGTAAACTCTCTCTCTCTCTCTCCCTCTCTGTCTCTCTCCCTCTCTCTCTCTCTCTCTCTCCCCCTCTGTCTCTCCCTCCCTCCCTCTCTCTCTTTCTCTCTCCCTCCCTCCCTCCTCTCTCTCTCTCTCTCTCTCTCTCTCTCTCTCTCTCTCTCTCTCTCTCTCTCTCTCTGTCTCTCTCTCTCTCTCGTTGTAGTTCTTCCAGATTTGTTTGCAGCCAGCTGGGCATCAGAATGAAACAGCTGGGTGGCCTAGAGACATAGCCTTGCATTCTCTTGGAGAAGGAGATATTTATCATTTTTGTGGAAGAATTTGATGATAAACCCTGGTGTACTGAGTGTGCAGGCAGTTGTGTTTGTTTTTGTTCTCCGTCAGCTACATATGCAAGGCTAGCCTGGACTATAGAATACATTGTATCAAATCAAATAAATCAATCAGTGAGCTACATCATTAAACAAGGCAGCATCTGAAATGATGCCAGCACCATTTGTGTGGGAATGTCTTGCTGCGGCCAATAGTAATGGTGGTGCTAACATGAGCAGCAGGTGGAGTAATTTAGAAGTGCCATGTTATAAGACAGGCACGTGTTTAAGGTGTGTGTAGTCCTCACAATGACCTCTGTGATGCTCATCCTATAGATGAAGAAACTGAGGTTGCAAAGAGACAGATTTCCTCATCCAAGATCACGCAGCTAGAGATTAGAAGTCACACCCACTTCTAGAGTGGGCACCTTAACCAGCATGCTGCATCCCTGCATCCCTTGTACAGAACCACAGCAGTTCATGCTGCAAAGGGATGCTTCTCCATTGCCCCCAACTTCCGTTTCACTCTTAGCCTTTCAGGACCAGAAACATACATTTGGAAATGATGTTGACGTATGTCTTCCTATAGGGCACTGAAAGGGAAGATGGGTGTGGAAAATCACTGTGTGTGGTGTATGCATGTGCACATAGGAGGACTTGCTGTGTGTGCATATGCAGAGACTGCTACCACTTTCCACCCTAGTTTTTGGACACCGGCTCATGCAGTGAACCTGCAGCTTGCTGTTTCGGCTAGACTGTGTGACCAGTGAGCTCCAGGGATCCTCCTGTCTCCACCCTCCCCAGTGCTGGAGTCACAGGCATGCGCAACCGTGTGTGGCCTTTTCTGCAGGTGCTGCTAGCCTAACTCAGGTCTCATGCTTGTGCAGTGAGCACTTTTCCCACTGAGAGTCTCTTAGGCACGCCACGGAGGCGAGGGCTCCCAGAGCCCCGAAGAGCAAGGCACACCTCGGAGCCGAGGGCTTGGTGGCTGCAGCAGCAGTGAGCACAGGTTCTAGTCTGATGGATGTAAAGCCCAGGTCCAGGGCGACCTTTTGACATTAGAAAGGTGGAAATGGGCCGGGCTGAGGAATGGCTCGCTAATTAAGAGCACCTGTTTCTCTTGCAGAGGACCCGGGTTTGGCTCCCAGAACCCACATGGCAGCTCACAACCTTCTGTAGCTCCAGTTCTGGGGAATCTGACTCCTGGCCCCCACAGGCATCGCACACCTGTGGCACACAGATAATCGTTCAGGGAAAATACCCAAGCTTGTAAAGTAAAAATAAACAAAACCTTAACATACCAGAAAAGTGGGACTGAGGGCAAGTGGGGGCAGGGCCAGCGTTCAAATGAGGCTGTCAGTCTCTTGTATAAGGCCTTACATGTTCCTGTTGGAATGTCTGCCAACAACTGTACTCCATGTTCTCAGGTCAGGGTGACCGTAGATGGCCATCTCTAATCTGGACATCAGTGGGTGTACTGGTGTCTCCAACTTAGCATTCTTGTCTTGTGCACGTATTTCCGGAGACTAAGGGAAGGGAAGGGAAGGGAAGTGTTAGCATGTCAGAATTTTCATCCCAAAGGTAAAAAGCCGCATGCTCATGAGAATCTCGCAGAACAGGGTCAGCTGGGTGATACGGTGCCCTCAGTACTTAGAAGGCTAAGGCAGGAGGATCACCAAGAGTTCCAGGTAAACCTAGGTTACAGTGTAAGACTCTCCACACAACAATGGTGAAGCCACTTTAGGGCTAGAGAGCTAGTTCAGTTTGCAGAATGATCGTCTGCCTGCACAGAGCCCCGTTTCAATACCCAGGGCAACATAGGCTTGGGGGGGGTGGCATGTATATGTGTATGTATGTATGTGTGTATGTATGTATATATATATTTACATATTTATTCAATACCCAGAGCAACATAAGCTGGGGGGGTGGCATGTATATATGTATGTATGTGTGTATGTATGTATGTATATTTACATATTTATAATCTCAGTACTCCCTTAATATCATAGTGTGTTTGGAGGCCAGCCTGGGCTACATGAGACTCTGTCTTTAAACCAAAACCAAACAGAGATCAATCCTCCCCCACCTTGGTCAGTCTTTCAGTAAACTTTGCCCTGGGAGGTGTGACTCTGAAGGGGCCATCTTCTGCCCTTAGTTTGTGGCCCAGGCTAGCCTCCAACTCACTCCCTAAGTCCTGATCCTCCTGCCTCCGAGATCTTCACATTGCTGGGGGCAGGGGTGGAATTATGTGCCACCAGGCTTCTCTTTAAAGGTTATCCTAATTCTAGAGCGGCCATGCTCCTCCAAGGCCAGGATGGTACTCTAGCGTTTTATATCCCTTCGTGGGAAAGCAGCTCAAACCAGACGGAAATATTGGTGTTTGGGTGCGTCAATACCCATTGTCCTTCTTTCTGGTTTGCCTTCTGACAGGATTTAATCAGAGATCCATTCAAGCTTGCAGAGGGATCTGACAAAGTGACGTCGAGACACGCACTTGATGACGCTGGAAGCTGCTGTGGCAAAAAGCAAAGCTGCTGTTAGATGGATGGCCAGCGCGGAGCTCTCCGCGTGCGAGCGAGCGAGCGAGCAGGCGGCTCAAGAACCGCTCACATAGGCTTTTAAACCTGCTATTCCCCAGTGCAGAGATTACGGGAAGAGGGAAATCTAGATTACTGCAAAGAGTAAGAATGAGTTTTATGTGCTAATCTAAGGTTCACAGCAAAGCAAGTTTTTTCTATTTCACTATTTCAGCGTTCCGGTGCCACCTGGTGGTCAGAAGTAGAACTTGGAAGCTTAAGGTTCACTGGAAGGATCAAAGGCATCAAAATTGGTGGAGGGTGGTGGGGTAACATCTTCTTTCTGGCCTATCACAGGACACTTCTGGACTTTCTCTGTGTTTACTCAGGAAGCAGAGTCCCTACTAAATTTACACAACTATGTCAAAAGATTGTCAGTCATATTTGGTAGGCGTGGTCTTCAGGTGCCTGTGTTCAAACCTTTTTTTTTTCTGTAATCGAGTAAAGAAGAAAACAAATGAATAATAAATTTCACCCTTATGATTGACATCACAGTGATTATCCTGTCTGTCTCAACCGGTGGTTTTTGATTTGTTGTTTGGAAAGCTAAGAGATATAAACAGGATTCCTCCCCCTTTATAAGACAATCTGATTAAACTTTTAGGGAAATACTGGGTTTGCTTTTGTGTCCCATATTAAAGAAGTTATGAGCACCTTTAATCTCAGCACTCGGGAGGCAGATCTCTGTGAGTTCGAGGCCTGGTCTACAGAGCGAGTTCCAGGACAGCCTCCAAACCATACAGAGAAACCCTGTCTTGAAAAACCAAAAGAAAAAAAAAAGGAAGAAGTTATGAGCATTAAAGGAAGGGACAATAAGTTGAAGGGACACAGAAATATTGGTCTTTATCATCAGGAACTGACAATTCAGCCTTTAAACAACCCTGGGGCTGGAGATGTAGTTCAGCTGGTCTAATACTTGCTGGGTATGCACGGAGCTCTGGACTTGTTCTCCGGTACCAGGTAAAACTAGGTGAAGCAGTACACACCTAAGGTCCCAGCACTCAGGAGTAGAGGCAGGAGGAACAGAAGCTTGAGGTCTTCCCTGCTCAGCTACAGAGTCTGAGGCCAGCCTGGGATACTGCCTCAAAAACAAGCAACAACCTTCAACAATGGAGGGATTTGATCAGAAATTCTTGTTCTGAGCTCCAGGCAAAAGGTGTTTGGGCAACAGGTGGAAATGTTGTTAGCATGGTTCAAGAGATTTTCAGTAGGAGTTGAGAATGTTTAGGCTATAAGACTCTGGGATGAATTCTCAGGGCAAAGAGATCTCACTGGGCAGTGGCAGTGCCCACCTTTTAATCCCAACACTTGGGAGGCAGCGGCTGGTGAATCTCTGGGAGTTCAAAGAAAGTCTGGGACAGTCTCAGAGTTCTGAGTGAGTTCAGCTCTCATCCCTGACTTTGACAGTGTTCTCCAGCCCTGTTTGTCTCAGTCACCGTGACTGGCTCTGGAGTTCCCTATGTGCGCTGTTATGACCTACTGCAGCCTGAGGCTGGTGTGGCCGTCACTCTGCATGCTCCCTGAGAGAGAGCAGGATGGCCCTTCCAGAGGGACACGACAGGAGAAAAGGTGGCTTAGACTTCATTTCCGTATTTTCACATTGACACGTTTGTTGCAGCCTAGGGCCGTCTACAAACTGAGCTTCTGCTGGTCTTTCCGTTCCTGCAGTTCTCTGGGGCAGATGTGACAGAGACAGCAGAAGTGGTGTTGCGGTCCCGGTGCCACCACGCACTGTTCTCAGGCGGGCGCCATGGTGTCCGATGCCCATCTCTTCATCTTGGTCTTGCCCCAGAAGGAGCCCGTGTGTTTAGTGTGCTGGCTGATCTCAATTTTCTTCACCTGTTTCTGAGGGAGGCCCCGCAGTGCTCTAGTGTTTACTGAAGATCTCAGCTTTCTTGGTTCATTTAACCCAGTCACTGTGGCCAGGGCTTGAGCCCAGAGAGGTGTTGGATTTTCTAAACTAGGGTGGCGGGGACAGTAACTTTTCGATTGTCATTCTTTTTGTTTTGATTTTCCGGACAGGGTTTCTCTGTATTGTTTTGGAGGCTATCCTCGAACTTGCTCTGTAGACCAGGCTGGCCTTGAACTCACAGATATCCACCTGCCTCTGCTTCCTGAGTGCTGGGATCCCTGCCTGCCTAAAAGGCGCCTCAGGCTGTGGCAGACAGCAGCTCCGACTCAGACAGTTCCAGCAGTGACGAAGAGGAGAAGACACCTAAGCCCCCAGCTAAGACAAAGGCAGTGGGAGGCAAAGCCCCTTCCAAAGCAGCCTCTGGGAAGAAGGCAGCAGCTGAGAGCAGCAGCTCCTCTGAAAGTTCCAGTGCCGTGGAGGAGAAGCCCAAGGGCAAGGGCAGTGCTGGACCCCAGGCCAGCAAGGCCAACGGCACTCCCGCGCCTCAGAACGGACAAGCAGGCAAGCAAAGTGAGGGAGAGGAGGAGGAGGAGGAGGAAGAGACGAAAAGGGCAGTTTCCAAGCCAGGTCTGTATGTGTAGAGCCACCCCTGGGTCTGTCCTCCATCCCTGGAATGTACTCAGGGAGGGAGCCAGGCAGGGGAGACGCCTGCTCCTGACTGCATGGCAGATTTCCATCACACGTGACTTCTGAGTCTGCCTTTTTGTTTTGTAGGTTCAGGAAAGAAACAAAAGCAGAATGACACAGCAGAGGAAGCAGAGACGCCTCAAGCTAAGAAAGTTAAGCTTCAGACTCCCAACACTTTTCCCAAAAGGAAGAAAGTACGTTGTTCCATAGTATTCTCAGAACCCAGCCGTTAAACCAGAATGCCCTGGGGCCACCTTGACAATCTGGCTGATACCACAGCCTGTGAGGAGAGCTGTTAAATCACCAGCTGGGCGTTGGTGGCGCATGCCTTTAATCCCAGCATTCGGGAGGCAAAGGCAGGTGGATCTCTGTGATTTCGGGCCAGCCTGGTCTACAGAGTAGTTCCAGGGCAGCCTCTAAAACAATACAGAGAAACCCTGTCTCGAAAAGCCAAAATAAATAAATAAATGAATGAATAAATAAATATAAAAGATATAAAATAAATAAATCTCATCTCCTGCTTCATTCTCTAGGCAGATAAAAGGGCATCTTCCCCATTCCGAAGGGTCAGGGAGGAGGAGATTGAGGTGGATTCACGAGTAGCAGACAATTCCTTTGATGCCAAGGTGAGGCTTTAGTATTGTCTTCTTTTTACTTTTTTTGTTGTTGTTTTTTGAGCCAGGGTTTCCCTGTGTAGCTTTGGAGCCTGTCCTAGAACTCACTGAGATCCCTCTGCCCCCCAAGTGCTGGAATTAAAGGCGTGGGGCACCACTGCCCGGCTTGTTAATGTCTTCTGTGCACTAACTTTATTATTTACCAGCGAGGTGCAGCTGGAGACTGGGGTGAGCGAGCCAATCAGGTTCTGAAGTTCACCAAAGGCAAGTCCTTCCGCCATGAAAAAACGAAGAAGAAGAGGGGCAGCTACCGGGGCGGCTCCATCTCTGTGCAGGTCAATTCCGTCAAGTTCGACAGCGAGTGACCTGTGGTCATCTTAGCAGAGGACGGTGGTGATGGAGGGCTGGCCCGTCACCGCCAATGGACCCAGAGACTCAGTGCCGTCAGGAGAGGGTCCTGAGACTCATCAGTCTCCAGTCCTTCCATGTTCCTCCTTTTGTACGGGTTTGCTTGTCATCATTGCCTTCCTGTTCTGTGGGTCTGCATATGGAGAAGTTTGTATGTTTTATATTAAATGATTTCGTATAGATTGTTATGATTTTCAGACATGAGTTCCACAGAATGTCAGAATGTCACGTGGTCAGAGTTGGAGAACTCTTGTCGTGTGAGTGCACATCCACATTCTACCCCACTTTCGCCCGACCATGGTGGGGTTATTGGTTGTGGAATTTGTCTTGTAAGTGTGCTCTGTGTTCATCCAAAGCTTTCAGAAACCAGCATGATCTACCAACTTTTGGGGGATAAAAGTGCTGCTCTTGGGATATAACAGCCTATAAAATTGACAGGCATTAGCTGGGCGGTGATGGCTCACGCCTTTAATCCCAGCACAGCAGAGGCAGGCGGATCTCTGGGTTCCTGGACAGCCAGGGCTACACAGACAGAAACCCTATGTTGGGGGTAAAATGACAGGCAGAATTCTCTGTGGTGTGAATGTAACTGTCTTGAGTATTTTGTTTCTAGTAATTGTTACTATTACATGTTTACAGTACACCTTAGTTTTAATTTCTAAGCAGGCTTTTCTGACATTGAAAAGCATTTTCAACAACTTGACCCTTACTACTGTGTATACTAAATTCATATGTATACTAGATTCATGCCTGTATTTGTTTTTAACGTCATCAACAACTGAACAATGCTTAATTACTTCTGTCTTGGTAACAGTGGCGACACAAAATTGGTGTGATTAATTCCTGCATGGTTGAAAATCACCCGACAAGGAAATGATGAATTAAAACCTCAGCCCTCAATGTGAAGTAGGTTACAGTGGGTACATGATAGGAAACCTGTGGGGAGGAACGGAAAGAATGTTACGTTGTAGAGACAGACAGGCTTGCGAACAGCAAGGTTGGAGGATCTGAACACAGGATCGTTTTGTCTTGATTGGTACATGGGGGTGATTGTGTCTTGTTTAAGACGGTCCTCTGTACTAATTGTTAGTGATTTCAGTACGCTGGGAAAGCGCATCTAGGGAACAGTGCTTGCCTAGCATTCATGTCCCTAGTTTGATCCCTAGCACTTCAATAAATAGGTAAATAAATGAGCAGAGCTTCGTGGGCCAGCGGAGTCGTTGGGATGTGACAGAGCTCAGCCAGAGGGAGGGGAGAGGAGAGCACTGGGCTGACCTGCTGAGAACAGACACCAGGCTCCACAGATGAAATACCTGATGACTTGTTAGAAGCTGGCGCTCTGTGGCAGCTTCTCAAGGAAGAAAATGTGCGGATCTGTTGGGGAATTCCTGTTATTTGTCAATAAAGCACTGTTGAGCCAATAGGAATCTAGATAGGTGGGACTAGGAGTCCAGGAAGACTCTGGGAAGGAGAAATACAGAGAGTCAAGATGTAACCGCCATGGGGTAGGAAGCCTGGAACTATTCTCCGGTAAGAGAAATACTTAGATTAACAATTATGGGGTAATTACTTAACTCAGAGCTAGCCAGTAAGAAACAAGTAAGGCCAACAGCTTCATAATTAATATAGCCTCCTGTGTGTTTATTTGGGACTGATGCGACTCTAGAACCAGGGTGGCGGGAAGGCTTCTCTCAAGGAAAAAGCTTCTCTTAACAGAATGGTGTCAGAAGTGGGATTGAATTTCCACGCAAAACAGCAAAAACTTTAAAGGAATTTTAGAAACAGAAGAACAGAGAGAAGCACAGATTTTTGGTAGCAGCATTTTTCTCAGGTGTGCTCTGTTTTGCTAGCCACAAGCCGAGATTCACGAGGCTCGCTTACTGGAGTCTTCCTGACTCGGCATAAAAACAAAACAAAACAAAACAAAAAAACCAGCAAGGTTGTTTTAAGAGACTCTGCTAACGATTGAAAGGTGTGTACGTACAGCTGGAAGTGGCAGCATTTGCTGGTTGTCAGCATGGACTGAGGCGGTAAGCTGGAATCACCATCTTGGAAACGGCAGTTTAAACAGCCACGGTTTTAACAGATAAGACACGTGGCCAGAAAAACATAAAGATTTACGGTAAAGTCAGACTTGGATATAGAAAAACCTCTAAAGGTTTACAGTGTGTTTAAAAAAAATACGTAAGATCGAGAGAGAGAAAAAAAAAAACGACAAAGTGGTGAATAAGTAGAGAAGCTGGCTGTGTTGGTGCATGCCAGTAGAAATTGCTCCAGAGGCAGAGGCAGGCGGATTTCCAAAGAGAAACCCTGTCTCAGAGAAAAATAAATAAAAGTAACATAAATAAAGTAATAATAGATATAAATAAGCCACGCAAAGATGGAAAATACACAGAGAGTCTGGATACTGTACGCTATTGTGTTTTTCAGTTTTTTCATTGCTCAGGAAGGAACAGCTACTAAAGTACACTTGATTATAAATGCTGCTGAATTAATCCAATTTATATCTTTTAAAAATGCCTTGACTTCAAAATTTAAGTATAAGAATATGTTACTTGGGAAAGGAGTTTTCATTTATGTTTCTACAGAAAATGAAAAGCTGAGGATTCCTTCCAGGCTTCTGTGGTTTGATGAACCAAGACCCCCGGAAGCAGTGGGCCAGATGTTTCAACAATTGAAACAGCTAAGATGATGCAGCTTTACAGACCACGAAAATAAGGACTTATACAGGTTTCTGAGCTTTGTCATGATCCCCATGGTATGAACAGCGCCCCCTTCCAGCATGAAGCAGTTTGGAATGAGCGACGTCCTAATTCCCACCTTGTTTATAAATCTTTATTTTCATTTAAATGGGATTGTTTATAATTAGCTGGTGATCACAGCCAATCACTTTTTAATGGTAAAAAGGGGAGTTATGGCATGGGTATGGTTTTTCATTTATTGATACAAATTCAAGGTCAATTTTGTGATGTGTATATTTCTCCTCTTGATTAAGTATTGTGCTTATACTGATCTTTTAAAACGTAATGCATAATTGAATACAGACTATAGATAATTACTTATAATAGTCAGCATTTAAAGTTAGGTTTTCTAGATATACAGAAATATATTTGAGATAGATAAACAGTTTTCAAACCTCTCAAAGACCTTCAGAAAATGGCATTTAAAATGGTTTAGGGTTTTTCTTGACAATGGGAAATGTCTGCTCCTGGCAGCACCAATTATGTCTGAGAGGAAGATGGGCATCGAAGAAACTTGTTATGGAGTTTGCTTTCAACAAGGCAAGATTAGCCATTTGGGCAAGAAACTGCTCTTGCCTGTACTGCTTGACTGTTGTTGTATAATCTGGACATGCAGGACCCACAGGAAAGTGACTGCTGAACTCAGTCTTACAGGGTTCCTGATTCATGGAAGAGTCTACGGGACTTTCTGCAGGACACAGAGAAATGACTGACAGATTGCCAATGCAGATGGACAGTTTGAAATTTCCTGCTTTGCTGAGAAATCTTCTGGACACATTATGGCCTATGGACTGAAGATGGATGCCCCAACGTTACAGAGGAACTTCGGGTGACTGTCCAGGCAGTAAGATGTCTCTGTCAATCCTAGTGTTTATATATTATCCTTCTGTGGTCTTTGATAGAGTTGAAGACAGATAGCTATAATTATAGTTTTCCTTAGTTATGATAAAAGATATAAGCTACATATAGGACTTTGGACTCATAAGAATGAGATAGATGATATTTTCTTTAAATCTTGTTAAATATTGATAGACAAAATATTGTAACTATGTTCTTACTTGATAACTGATCTTTTATATATAATTTGACTACGTTGGTGTTGGGACCTTTCTTTTTGTTTAAACAGATAAGAGGAGATGTTGGGGAAGTCCTGTGCTTTTGTCAATAAAGCACTGTCTGGCCAATAGGGAATCTAGATAGGAGGGACTAGGAGTTCAGGAGAACTCTGGGAAGGAGAAACACAAGAAGTCGACATGTAACCGCCATGGGGTAGGAAGCCCGGAACTATTCTCCGGTAAGAGAAATACTTAGATTAACAATTATGGGGTAATCAAGTCAGAGCTAGCCAGTAAGAAACAAGCAAGGCCAACAGCTTCATAATTAATATAGCCTCCTGTGTGTTTATTTGGGACTGATGCGGCTCGAGAACCAGGCTGGCGGGAAGGCTTCTCTCAAGGTAAAAGCTTCTCTTAACACGGATCTCTACATGGTCAGAGCTCTGCGTCTTACCAGAGCAATAAACTGGATGGTGTATAATGTGTTGAGAGTTTTATTTGTGAGTGTAAGGTCTCATAGCTCTGTATGCAGCAGAACAAGTAGCAGTGTGGATCTTGAGTCTCAGCTGAGGCAGACAGCTCTGAGTCCAAGGCTCACCTGGTTTACCTAGAAAGTTCCAGGCCAGACAGTACTGTCCCATCCCTTTAATCCCAACACTCAGGGGACAGAAGGAGTTCAAGGCCAACCTGGTCTACAGAGTGACCATGACAGCCAGTTACACAGTGAAGCCTTGTCTTGGAATAAAAAGGCTGGGTGGTGGTGGGGCCCGCCTCAGCCCAGCACTAGGGAGGCAGAGGCAGGGGATCTACAAAGCTAATTCCAGGATGTGCTCCAAAACTACAGAGAAACCTTGTCTTGATAAACAATGAAAAGGAACAACTTCAAATCTTTTAAATATAATTTTTATTTTTCCATTTGTATACATTAGTATTTTGCCTGCTTCTATTTCAGATCCACTGGAGTTACAACTAGTTTTGTAAGCTACCATGTGGGTGCTGGGAACTGAACCCAGGTCCTCTGGAAGAACAGCCAGTGCTCTGGACTACTGAGCCATCTCTCCAGCCCCTATAAAACCAGAGGGCTGGCTTTCAATTCCCAGCACCTACATTACATTGTGGGTGGTTCATAATCATAACTCCAGTTCCAGAGGCTCCAGATCTTCTGACCTTAGGCACCAGGCATGAATGTGACACATACATGCAAACAGTCACAAAATGAACAAGGTTGATTTCTGTTAGGGTTTTTCAAGGCAGGGTTTCTGTGTCTTCTGTCCTGGAACTCGATTTGTAGCCTTGAACTCTGAGATCCACCTGCCTCTGCCTCCTGAGTACTGGGATTAAAGGAGGTGTGCGCCACCACCGCCTAGTACAAACTTAATTTTAA